TTTCATAAGTACTGAGCCAACTTAAGCTACTCTTGCAAAGAACCTTTGATGTGCATATTGTTACAATCCTTGAAGCTTGAACTGAGTTTTATACATAACTTCCTTTCTGCTTGTTTTTCATCCCTGTTCCAATACCACTTAATTATATGGTAGGGTTGTCACGGACCTTTTGCTCCCTTTAAAGGAAAAAACAGTCCCTTTCTATTCACAGTGCCATAGTTGAACAGTGGCAATCCTTGTTCCCAGCAGCCTGCACACTGAAGTTTGCAAGGTTCCTTTTCTTAAAAGCATCCTAGAAGAGGTATCTAAAGATACTGTGAACACTTGTAATTCCATATGTCATAGAGAGGCCTCCAAGGGCTCCTTGGCTGAGGGAAGGCATAGATTGCATTTATTCTTGTTTACCAGTGATGAGTAACCACATTTCTTTAGCTGATCAACCTAGGGGACCACTAGGTTGCAGGAGTTTAAAGAAGTCTTAAAACTACGGCCTTCTCTCCCTGCTTTTCCTTTTGCAACGATCATGGTTTTGCCTTGGTTCAACACATCCCTTGTCTTCAGATGTATCTGATCTGTACCTCGATCTGCTGTACTTCCCACTTACTAATTTTTACGTGTCCTAAAAGCTAAGATTTTTGTATTCAGTTAGGAAATGTTCTGTTACTGAAAACAAAAGACCTGTCTTGTTCTTCCAGAAGTGCTATTTAAACAGAAGCAGATTCTCAGGAAAGGCGAGTCTGTGCATATGAGCACAGCAGCCTTTCCACTGTAAATGGGAAACAGACATACTCAGTCTGAACCTTGAACCCCTTTGCTGCTCCTGATTGTTTTAGTCTGGGTTCCAAAGTGGTCTGTAACAACTTTTAGCTTGAGTAGAAGGGATCGTTCTCTTCTTTTCCTTATTTTTTCTATGTTTTTCTTTCTTAATGGATTGTTTCATTTTTCAGTACAAATATACAGGAAGAAAAGACAAAATATAGCAGGCTTCACAGTTTACCATGAGCCATATAGGGCCAACAAGGGAGTAAGATAAGTTTTCTTTACAGTGTTGAAGAATCCAACTTGTTTGTTTATTTTAAAGAATTAATTTCTCCTCCTTTCATTTCCTTTAACACTGTTATCTCCTAGGGGTAACTTTGCTAGAGTGAACACCCACACTATTGTCAGGAGAGAAATGCTACAAAACTATTGGTATTTTAGCTTGACAATAAGAACTTTTCTAAACAAGAATATAACTGTTATATATAATAATAAAATGGAGAAGGAAATATATCAGGGCACATAGGTGAATCATAGTCAAAAAATCTTCAGACTTCTCTATTTGAAAGCTTTATGCTGGAGCTAGAACACCAATGAAGTAAACTATATTAAATAACTATTATAATATAAAGTATTGTGCTGCTTCTCCTCTTGATACCCCAACAATTTATTATCTTCTGTACCTACTTAGATATGATACTGCTGTGGCCAGTTTTAGCTCAGTTGGGCTGACTGAAAACTGTTTTGGCTTTGGCAGAGAAGTTACCATTGATTGATACCCAAATTGAACCTCTGTCTTCAATGTTAAAATCCTCTGCCTACTTAACTTCTAATCATATCATCTTTATCTTGTCAGAACTACTTTGTCCATGATGTTTACTGTCTTACAACCAGCAGCAATTATGGAAAATTTAAATAGCTGTACTACAGGAACGTCCTTTAGGAGAGACTTCTAAGAAGACTAATTCTGTTTTTCATAAGGAAAAACATCTGGCTCCCTTTTTGGTTCCAAAGATCTGTTTAATTTTGAAATAGGGCTAGAAGTCTCAATAAGGTACAGGCTGGCCAGGCAGTGTGTATGAGGGGTGGAACTGTGAAAATAACTCATTGTTAGTCTAGGTAAAAACTACCAAAATTAGCAGGAACTTTTCTACTGAGTTTTGTCAGCAGTGAATACTTCAAGAAATCCCTCATTTTAGATTTACAGTCCTAATTGCTATCACACTTATTTTTACTGTAGTGCTCTTTGTTTTCAATTACAGTTATCTCATCTCCTTACTTCATCAAATCTATGACTAGATTCATAGTCTATTTTATACTCCTATTTTATACTCTATTTTATACTCTGCAGTGCATGCTAAAATCTGGGGGGACCTTACTCTAGATTCATTGACTGCAACTTTGACTTCACATTCCCAGAAAGGGTGCTCGGGTATTTTCTGTGTGGCTTATCAGCCCACATTTCTTTCTAACAAGTGAAAGCTTTCAAAATAATCCTCCTGAAATAATTGCTTCTAGGCATGTTTAATATGCATATAAGTATTTCATTACCTGAAACCATACATTTAAAACAATTAGATGAGGGGTGTTCATTGAAATATGCTGGCATGTGCTTGATATGAGGAAAAGCATCAGATAATCAAAAGCAGCTGTTTCAGGTCTGCTCACAGAGGAGGTAGCTTAGGCAGTGAAATTTTATTCCCTGGCAGAACAGGAGCAAGCCCATTCCTGCAGCTCTCCAGTAGAGCAGAAGTTTCTGCAAACTGTGAAGCACTTCTTGTGTATGAAGATTCTGCTAATGTCATATCTCTGAACAAATGAGATAGTCCAGGGAGAGAGCAGTCCTGTCAGCATAACTGCATGTCCTTCAAGGTTTGACTGGCACAGTACTGTGATCAACATCGAGTTGCTGGCAGAGGCAGCAGAACAGGCACAGCCAAGGAGGGGCAAAATTTCAGCTGCACAGCACAGTGTTAGTCCTCCATACAAAGCACTACTGTGGCTGAATGCATCTGTATCCAGCCAGTTATTTTGCTTAAGATGTTGACTTTGATCTGATTGTGTTAGTAACGCAGTTTCTAGATACAATTCATTCATCTCAACTCAGATTCCTGTGTCACAGAATCCACAACAGTGCTCACAGCTATGAACAATTCTTCTTTCCTTACTATTTTCACTGCAACCAAGAGGCATTTTCAGAGTTCTGTTCATTAGACATATTTACTTGTCTACTTCAGAAGATGATGTTTCCTAGGTGTCTGTTCCTCTGCACTGACATTGTACATTTTCATTTTCTACTTGTCCTTATCAGAGCAGTTCCTGCCACCTTTGTTCCAGAGTAGTCATTGTGTGCATGCTCTTTCTGAACTGGTGCTCTTGGTTCAAAATTTGTGTCTCCTATTCTTAGGGCTGTCTTCTCTGAGGGTTATGACTGATGAGCCTGCCTGAAAAAGCCTATGAGAGATGAAGAGTTCCCAGCTATTAGGATTACAAGTGCAGTGGTTTGCAGCACTGTAACACAAATCAAGCTCCAAAACGGTTTACTTTAATGTGCTGTACTGTAAATTGCAGTGGTTAAGGGCTGATTAAAAAGCAGCTTGGTAGTGCAAAAGCTGAAGGTTGGGCAGGCAAGGAGGTCTAACAGCATCAATCATCCCACTCTAAGGATCCTTTAAACTTCTACTTAAAAGCATCCCTTCAACTCTGCTTAAAAAATAAAATTTGTTTAGGTGATGTTATGAACAGCAATTACTGTCGGACTTTGAGATCTGCAGAAAGAAACTGGGGGCAGTGTTTTTATTTTCTTGTTTAAGTTTGTGTTTCCAAATTGTTTGAAGTTTGACTTGCCACCTAACAGACACATTTGGTAATGGCAAAATAAATTGTAGCACTTCTATTTTTCAGGTACAATGTGTGTATCATGGCTTATGGACAAACTGGAAGTGGGAAGACATACACAATGTTGGGACCACAGTTAGAGGAGAACTTAGCATTCTCCATAGAAGAGGAATCAGAACTTGGAATTATTCCTCGAGCTACCCAAGAAGTGTTCAGGTAAAAACTAAGTAAAGGCTTGCTGTCAGTGGCAGTCACTTTAAACTGTATAGAAAGGACGAAATAATGATTGTAATGTATTTATTGTTACAGATTTCAGCTTCACAATATTTACAGCTTCTCTGCCCACCATTTGGTATTTGAGGTTTTATATAGATTTCTAGTCTCTCTCCTGCTTAATCTGATTTTCTAAGACAATAAGATTATGCAGTTTTACTGTTTGTTATCTGTCCATGTGGCTTTCAGACTCTAATTAGATTTTTGAAGATGTTTCAGCCATAGTTGTGGGAGTCCAAAAGATGATTAAGTTCCAAAAAGTTTCCACTGTGAAAATTGACAACTGGAATACATGAAGAGGATTCAGATTAGAACCCAGTCCCAAGGAAGAAGGATAGTAAAATTTTTAACTACACTCTGTTGTTGTTTTTAAGATTCTTAGAGTATTTTAGTTGAACCTAATACAGGATTGAACTGATATGCTGCTATGTTATAGTACAAGAGCCATTAGGAGTTTTTCCAGCTAAGCCTGTTTGTTTTGGAGAAGGGTATAAGCTAAATCAAAGAACCAATTTTGTATGAGAATAACTGCTTAACTGTAAATACTTTCCTGAATAGAGAAGCCGTTAATTTATGGATTTTCTGAGGCTGTGTACAGATAACTTCTTACAGATATAGTTTCCCATCTCTGTTCATTGTTTGCACTCTGACAGATTTTATACTCTGAGCTCTGAGTGCAACAACTGCCAGCAGAGAAATGGTATAAAAAAATTCTAAGGTGGGAGACTAGTGGAAAAAAATAAGCTGGCACAGCTGTTTGGAAAATTAAATTCTATTTACTTCTTCAAGTTTAAAAAACTGTATATTCTGATTCTTCAAGTTAACATTAGTATATGGATGAGGCAATTCCATGGCTACAGATACTTAGTAGGCACTTGTATCAGATTCTAATTATATTAAAATTAAAGAATAGATCTTTAAGCTTTTTTTTTTTTTTTATTTGCCAGGCTTATTTCAGAAAAGCCACCAGGAAGTTACTGGGTTGAGGTTTCTGTTGTAGAAGTGTATAATAATGAAATTTTTGATCTTCTGGCCAAAGATAGTTACGGAAAAGTGTTTGGCATCAAACGTGATGTTGTCACAACCAGAGAGGGGAAGAGCGATGTGCCGCTGCTGACGCACGAGTGAGTACATGGCTTGTTCCTACCATCCAAACACGATCTGGTGTTGATACCACATAGAGCTGTCACAAAACTACATTATAGGCACCAGATTGCTTCTAAACAATGAGTCACTGCCATATGCAAAAGAACAGTTCTGTTTCTGTTAGCTCAGTCTATTAAACTGCAGTTGGCTGCAAATGTCAAAATTCTTCCAGAAATAACTGTACAATTACTTTGAGTTATACTCCTTTGTTAAGTGCCTTCCACTCAGAAAGCCTGAAGATTGCTGCATATTTTGTTGTTGCTGGATCTATGGCATCTTGTCAGCTGTAAAAAAAGAAGGGATAATCTAGTCACAAAGCACTTTTCCATTCAGTCTTACTGAATTATAAAATTTACAGATTATAATAGAAATTTATGTACCAGTTGCAAATATTTAAGCATCTGGAGGGTGTTAGCTTTCCCTTTATGCATTGGAGTTACAAAAAATTAGAATAAGCTTTCAAGTGATCTTTTAATACAAATACCCATCTTAATGTTGCTTAATGTTCTGTTTTCATAACTGGATGTGTTAAAGCTGGATTTGTTATGTTGGCATTTGAACTGGTAGGTCTTGAAAATCGAGGTTCTTCAAACTAAAAGCTAAGAAGCAGCCAAGCTTCTCACTATTCACTTTTAAGATGTCCCAGCATTGGTGTATGTCAGGTTTGATCCTTATTTACACAACTTGACAGTGTAGGGAGAGCTAGGGTACTTAAGGCTACAGCTATACTACTTTAATGCCTTCTTTTACTTACTAAGCATTACGATGATTTGCTCTAGTACTCACAGGAATGATTCTTGGCATTACGTAAGTGTGGCATATGAAGCAAATGTACAGTGCTTTCTTGTTATATATAAAAAACTTACCTTGGCTAACTAGATCTTAAAAGTCATGTGTTTATAAAATTTCATCTATTCACAAGAGGGAATCTGTTTCAGATGCTTCATTTTAGAATGGCTGTGTTGTGTATCATAAAATGTCCTGAGTGGGAAAGGGCTCATAAGATCATGGAGTCCAACTCCCGGCCCTTCACAGGATAGTCCCAAGAATCTCATTCTAGTACCTGGCCCTCCTCTGGGTGAAGAACTTTTTCCTAATGTCCAGTGTAAACCTCCCCTGACAAAACTTCAAGCTGTTCCCTCAGATCACCAGAGGAGAGGTTGGTTCCTGCCCCTCTGCTTCCCTTCACTTCCCTTCCCTTCAGTTGTAACTGCAATGAGGTCTCCCGTCAGTCTCTTCTTCTCCAGGCTGAATAGACCAAGTGACCTCAGCTTCTGCTTATGTGGCTTCCCCTCTAGGCCTTTCACCATTTTTGTGGCCTTTCTTTGGGCCTTACATTAGTGGTATCAATATTAGCTAGAAAAAAAATAAAATTAGGATAACATTACTTGTGGTACCACAGAGGTGATGGTACTCAGTGGAATTAAACTGGACATCTCTCTGTGGGCACCCAGCATGAGAACAGATTCCAGAAGGGAGCATGTGCATTATCAAGATGTCATATAAAGAAGTGAGTAAATAACGTTTGTGGAAAGAAATGTCTTGCTCTATTGAAATGCTTAGAACAGCATTGTGTTTTCTGTGTTTCTGAAGAAACATGATGGTTTTCTTTGCTTCTCTATAATAATTGTCGTGGTCTAATCTCTACTTTTCCAAGGGGAATTAGCAGTCAGATATGAAATGCATCCCATGCCAATTAAATAAAATGCACCATCAGTGGAGATAATTTTGTCCTATGGGACATTGTCACATAAGCAGACCACTAGTTTGTTTATGTGGATTTAATGCTATTCCCAGCAAGCCTTGACAGAAAATACAAGAATGTACTGGAGGATTGTACAAACATACCTTTATTCTACCTAGTGATACACATTTATTGATTTCTACTTTCTAGCAATTTAATTGCTCATAGGAAAGTGGGAGCCCAGATAAATTGTCAAGTAGTTTTCTTCACTGTGGGAGCTATAGGACTCTCCTTTCTTTCTATGAAATAATAAGCACTGCAATATTCTCAGAAGGATTAACATTTGTATCTGGGGTTTGCCTGCTCTTTGGTCTTGAGGTTAAGTACAATTTCCATAGACTGCAAGCTGGATTGCACTCTCCATGCTCCATAAAAACATGGAATGAATGAAAAGTGACTGGAGATTAAAGTGATGAATCCTTTTGCCCTTTCTGTCTGTATTATGCTGACTAGTGGGTTTCTCTCTATCTCTATTCTTGTATTTCTCCAGCTGTGACTCTACTCCAACTTTTAGTATCTAGTTTAAAGTTTCTGCTGTCAAGGGAATGGAAAACTCCAGAAGAGGCTGGGAGCAGAACTTAACCTGTGTGTGCTGAATCTTTCTTGGAGGAGCTAATCTTTTTCCTTTGACTAGACAGGAAAGGGGCCATATGACTTAGAAAGTGAAGATGGGTGCACATAGCATAGGCATGCTGGGAGCTGGACTTTCCCTGTTTCATCAAAACCTCCAAGTAATTTTTAATTATGGTATTTCAGTAACTAAGATGCTGGCCTGGCATAATTTTATTCTTGAAAAATGCCTGTTCCCAAAGGATCTTTGCATAGTTAGTGGGTGACCCATCTCTTTTCATAGGTTTTGGAGAAAAACTCTTAAAAGCCACTTATCTCAATCAGTTAATACTAAATTCTAATGCAAACATAAATAAAAATATGGACTTGTATCTCAATTACAATGCAAGCAGTGAAAAAAGTCCAATTCATAAACAGGTTATATTAATAATTACATAGAAAGGTTAATAAGAAAAAACAAACCCAAACAAAGTAAAGGAACCATTGAATGAGGCCACCCAGCTGCCCAAAATCTAAAGTAAACAGATGGTGCTTTGAATAAAAACACATCCTCATTTATGATAATATTTCATCTAGAATATATTGGCCTGCTGGGTCTTATTGGCTTCTCCATATATCCACTAAAGTACAGTAGTCTCTTTCCTGCTAACATGTTCATCTTACTGAATCACAAAAACCTCAGTTTCTTTCTTCTTTTATAACTTGGCTGACTTTGGAGAACTTTCAGCATCAAATTTTTAACGTAACCACAACAGGGCTTCTCTTTGTAGAATCTGGTTCTGGAACGTGCGACACATAGTACACGATGAAGTCGTAGAGATTATACTAAAATATTATTTTTGTCAGTACTGTGGAGGAGCTACTGTGCCAAGCTTGCCACACTGGGCTGGAGATGTTGCTCGTCTTCAAAGCCAGCTGTAGCTTCCCAGCCATAGGTGACCAGCACTGACCAGCACACTCTGAGCCCTGTCTTCCTTGGCAAATGCAGGGATGGGGCAGCAGCTTGGAGCACTGACCATTTGGCAGCTCACAGCAGCAGCTTGCAGAAGCCAACAGCCTGGAGCTGCACCCTAGCCAAGGCTGCTTCCCAGTCAGGCCTTCCAGTCCTGGCTGACTAGCCACTGGAAGATGCAGTTAAAGGCTGGGGAAGGCAGGATGTGTGCCCCCTTGGATGTGAGGCAATAGTCAGATCACCCCAGTGTCAGGCTCTGACTGTAGGAACTAAAGCCACTGGTTCTCTGCTGGCACCAGGTCAAACAGCAGGAGACATCCCCAGGGGGTGGCCAGAGGTAGAGGTGTCACAGTGGAGGCGGACATGTCTGGCTCAAGGGGAAGTCTGTAGTGATTGTTTACCTCATGGAGCCCTGGGTGCACAGGGAACTGCACTTAGATGGCTGCTTCTCCTATGTGCCTATAGATATGGTGTGAACAAATGCTTTTCTGTGCTTCAGATGCTCTTGCTTTGTTTTTCAAGGAAATTGTTTTAACTGAGTATAGTTTGTTGTCTTTTGTTCTTCTGTCTCTAAACTGTTCAAGTATGGCTCTTAGCATAAAACAGCTTTGTGCCAGGTGTGACTTTCTCACGGAAATCAGCCAAATCTAAGTCATAAAGACATTGCCTTTTATCACATGCTTGCTTTTGCTGAAAAGAACATGCAGAACCGAGCCTGTGGCCTGCGATGAGAGTTATTAATGGTAATTAACCATTAAATTATGATATGCAGTCATAATTTATACCCCCCAAAAAACAACTGTTTAGGTGTACTAGCTTCAGTGATGATTGAAGAGGGCAACAGTGAAAGAAAAGGATAGGCACTCTTATCTCATTTGTTTTAAACTTTGCAAACCTAGGGAAAATCGTAATGGGTTTTTTCTTTACCTAACCAGTTTATTTCATTCACTGTGTTTATTTCACCATGTGTGCTAGGTCATTGCCCTTGATCATATTTGCAGTACTTCCTTTAACAGGAAAAGAAAACAGGTAGTCTGAGATAAATGGTCTACAGACATTTATATCTATTTATTCTGACATTGTGCTCATTGAACAGTGGAACTGGACTTTTTACCAGGGATTCTGGATTTAATTCCAAATATGAAATATGACTTCCAGAGGCCCAGAGAAATTTTGGGGGATTTTGCCTAATTCTGTACCTAAGAAAATGAGCTCCCTCAGCATAAATTGGACAAGTCTACTTCTGTAAGACCAGAGATTCCAGCAATGTCTAAACCTGTGTCTTTTCTTCCCAAGTGTGGAGCTATAGAAATGTCTGTTGCTTCAAGAACTGAGCTACAGTACTTCTGGACCTGCAAGGCTGGCAGGCCACTTCTGCAGCACTCTTAGGACTGCACCACAGCTTTTGGCTTGAATTTTCATCTTTATCCCACCTGAAAAAGTGTAATACAGTTGTTTGTGCAGCTCAAAACTGAGAGTAGTTTTGAGAAGGAGAAGAGCAGGGAAGTGGAAATGCTGAGGTTCTCATTCAAGTTGTCAGCTTTTTTGTGTGATTTTTCCTGTGAGTCAGTTAAATATCCTTTCTGTTTCTTTACTTCTTAGGACTGTTGAAAATGCATCTGAATTTTTGCATCTAGTCAACAAAGGCCTACAGCTGAGAGTCACGCACCCAACACTGGTGCATGCTCATTCCTCTCGTTCTCATCTGGTAGTGACATTGACCATAACCACAGTTGTCTTTGGAGATAACTTTGGTAAGCAGGATGTTACTAAAATACATCTAGAGCCAGTTGTTTTTAGAAAAACAGTCTGTGGATTGGGAGGTTTTCATATTGCTTTTTCTTCCTTTTTCCAATGTTTGATACATTCCCTCAGTTTTTTCCATCTTTCTAACTTCTTCGTTCCTTCTTAAATAACAGACCATTTTCATGTTTGAATGCTACTGGAGCTTTCAGTTTCTTAAAATCTTAGAGCTTTTCTTGACATGCTGTGACTTATAGAGTTGTTGAAGTGTTATTACATGAGGCAACTAATGAATAAGTTAGTTAGTCATAAGGTATAAGATATTTACTATCTTTATAAGGTAGATACTAAAATAAAGTAGTTAAATCACTTAAAATGCATAATTACATGCCGCACAAAGTTTGTGGTTAAGCTAACCATAAATTTTAGGGATCATCACATGCTTTTGGTTGAGAAAGAATTAAAATTATTTACTCTCTGCCTGGCAAAAAATGTCCTTTAAATTCAGAATCTTTTGAACTGTTAATAATAGGCCTTATGAAAAGACAGAATACTTCTCCTATTTACTATGGCAACATGGATATTTCTACTTTTCACTACCACCCCAAGACTTACCAGTTTATTGGTTGAGGAAAAAGTTTCTTCTGGGGCTCTTGAGGGTAACTGTTTTCTTTTGCTCATGTTCTAATTAGGCTCTCTGCTTTCAGTGCTGTGGTCCATCTGCTTCATACTCTGCAACAACAATATGATTTTAGAAAGTGGGAAATATTTAACATTTTTTCCCTTAGATTGCTATCAGAAATTAAACCCACAGTATCAGTAAAGCAGAACAAACAGTGCCCTCACTTACCTATGGGCCTTGCCAAAAGACACAGTTACTTCACAGGTTGCAGCTCCAGCATTTCCAATGTTAACTCTAGCCAGCTCCAGATTTTTGTTGTTAGACTGATGGTACTTTTCTAAACTCAGTATTTGCACCGTTAGCACATAGCCATCTTGTCTAATCCAGAACTCCCTTTACCACCTCTAATTGCAGTCACCCCACCATGCCACGTTGCCTGGCAGCAAAGCTCCGTAGAAATGTCTAATTGTTGTTGAATGCAGACTCTGGCTTTTGAGTCCCAGCACATGGGTGAAGATGTGCACTGTAAGGGAACAGAGCAGAACTGCAGCTGAGACCTCACTGCAGCAGTGTGTGACAGCACAGCCTACCTTGGTTAGCAGGAAAGGACCCTGATTAAAAGCCAGGTGCCATTGTTGTAAAGTCTGTGATGAGTTCTGCACCTAAAGCCAGGGTTGACAAGCCAGCAGTTTTTCAGGTTTGATTAAGGTATTTTAGCATTTTGATCAGTATTATCTGTTGTTTGAGGAGAGCTGTTTCTTAATTTCATTGTCTAAAACTGGAGTGAGAACACTTAGTTTGACACTGTATGTGTCAAGCCATTTATTCTGTGTAAACCAACACAGCTGCTCTGCCTAAACTGTGAAGAGCTGGCTCAGGGTTTAGCAGCAGCCCACTTGGAGAAGTACAGAGCTCTGTAATTCAAGTCAGAGTCTGCTCCTTAGTCAAGTTTTGCATTTGGAAGCTTTCTACTGTTCCATCTAGAACTCTAAGCACCCAAGGAGGTCTGTTGTCTCTATGACCTGCAGCAGAATATGTGCCTTTTCTTCTTTTGGAGAGAGAAGGAGATAGATGAAAACCAAAACACTAAGAAAAAAACCCAAACTGCTTTGGGAAATCCATTTTGCATATATTCCTGCTAAGCTAATGTGAAAGCAGCTTTCCCAGAGAATCTTTGTCTTCCTTCCCAGCAAAGAGAGAAAGCCAGATGCTTCTGCTGAGGAATGATACTAGTAGGTAACCCACCTGAACAAGTGGAAATAGCAGTATTGAGGCTAATAGCTCATCATGTGGAGATCTTGCAGTGGGATATAATGGCTGAAGGAAGTCTAAAAGGAACAGCAGCAAAGGACAAAATAGAAGAGGCAGGATAAGGATTATTTTTTTTTTCCAGAGCACCAGCAGGTGATGTTTCAAATACACAGAACCAGTTTTCAGAGCCTACTGCTCCCAAGCATCTGAAATTGCACTTTGGTTGCAATCAGTCTAAAACTTTAAAGTCCTTACTGGACTCCCATTTCTTGTTTTCCACACAGATGTGTGAACAATGGGGACATTGGATACAACACAATCTACACCAAAGTTTCTTACCAACTGGTACAATCACTTTGATGAGTAAAACTTTAAATGAGATAGAAAAAGTCATTCAGCCTGCCTGTGCCATGGATTCTGGCTTGTACGTTGCTTCTGTTAGAATAGCCTGACACAGCAGATACTGTACATCCCCTATTGATGCACCATTTTTCCCCCATCTAAATTTTCAGTGTCAGTGAGAATCTCTCTATTGTTTTTTTTTCATTAACTAGGTACTTTATGGGAAGATGAACAAACCAGTCAGAGACTAAATAAAGAGGCTTCCTGCACTTTTCCACAAAAAATGAGAGACAGTAAATCTACCTCTTCTTCTGGAGCCTCTTCACCAGTACAACTTGAAGCAACTGAGAAAATGAAGCAAGTCAAAACGAGACTGCAGCTGGTGGACCTGGCTGGGAGCGAGTGTGTTGGTAAGAGAATGTGTCTGTTTGTGGGCATGGATACTCACGGATCTAGGTTACAGTAAATGCTTTAGTTCCTTATGGAGGGATACATGCTAACCACAGAGGTGGTTTGAACCCACAGATCCTGGCACAAACAAAATTCTGAGGGCTGATTGATCCGGTTTTGCACTGGTGTAGTTTAACTCAAATTATGACTGCATAAGCTTGAAATAAGCCCAGGATGGTTACACATATCATAGATACACTATTTGTTCAGACTGCTTTTATTAGGCCTGTTTTTCTACTCTGAAAATTAGCATGTCTTTGGTACAGAAATGTTTAAGGAGCATAAATTATTTAAATATTACAAATATCTGTAATAATTTGTATTACCATATGTGGATTTTTCTGCTTTATTGTGGAAAAAGTCTTGGAGGAAATTAGCGTTGAAAAGATAATATTGCTTTTTATTGTTTCTTCAAAGCATTTTCCTCCTGCCTCCTCTATGCAAACAATAATTTTAAAAACTCAATTATTTCCTAAAGGACAAGCTTTCTTACCAAGAAAAATCATGCAGCCAAATGTATCATTCCAGAAATAATGTTTTGAAAAGTGAACCAGTATTATGAAAGAGTCTTTTACTTCACTGCCAAGAATTCTTGCTGTTGCTCACTGTTAAACTTTTGTTCTACAGAGAAACCTAATATAATACATTATTTTTTCATTTGCTCTAAATGCTGAAAACATGTAATTGAGCAACAGGGCGTGTGTTTATTCTCTCAGTTAAACCAGGACAAACATTTCCTTGGTCTGGGGCTCGGCAGGCCAGTTCCTCCAGTGAATCCAGAAGAGCTGTGCTCACATCAGTGTTAGATGTGGCCCAGCACATGCAGCAGCTGACCTCTGCCATCAGCTGTGCTGGTGGACATACTCTGTTGAAAGTGAGGGCAGTGTTAACTCATAATTGTTTTAAAATTTGGGCAAATCTAAGTAATCAACCTTACCTCAAGCTTCTCACACATGTCAGCACCTGGCCCTGTTGGCTCTGCAGTGGCATAGGTCATTTGAGGCATTTACAAGTCAATTTGTCCCTTTTTAGAAAACTGTTTCACTTTGAAAACTCACCTAAATGCTTTGTCAAAGTTCATCTAACCAAATACAGGTAATCAGCAGTTTAAACATGTACCCCCTACCCTATATGCAGTTTTCTCCTTTAGGGGGGATAACTGTAATCCCAGGAGTCCACTTTTCCTTGATATGAAGAGGATGCCTGGGGATGGTTGTATATATAATGACCCAAGTAAAGTTACCCTGTGATTCATCCTATCTTGGATTGTTATCCACCCTTTGGCATGGTCTTCCAAACTGCTTTATCTCTCTCTGACAAGATAGAGAGACTCTACCACTCCAACCTCATCCTCTCCCACAGTTCTAGAGCCCTCACTGTCCAGACTCCTGGGTTTTTTGCTATTACTGTACCTTTTCACATTTCCCTTTGCTAGAAAATGCTGGCCTAAGGGGAAAACAAGATCTCTGGACACTCCCTGTACCTGTCTAGAGATAGGAGAATAGGCAATAGAGGAAGCTGTTGGCCCCATCTGATCGTCCCCCTGCCATCAGCTCTGCCTGACATGGATCATGTGCCCTGGGTAAGGAGAAGTGACTGTGGATGCATCTGCACCTCATCCATTATCCTCAAGAAAGCTTGAATTTGAATAATATGATGCTAAATGCTAATAGCAAATTTCTCTTCCCCAAATGGCAAAGGTAAGGACAGCAGGAATTGATTACTATTAACTGTACTCTCATCCAGACTGATCAAAGAGTTGAGTTTGCAGCACCTCTTTGAATTGGTGCCGTATGTTGCATAGACCAAACCTTTACAGTGCTGCTCAGGGGCAGCATAGCTACATACAACCATGCTGGGTGGGTGGTAGAATTGCATCGTGTTCCTTTATCCATTTCCTTGCAGCTAATCATGACACAGAACAGTACTCCACAGGCTCTGGTGAACACAAATACAAGCGTGAACACTTGTGGCTGTTGTAGTTTTCTCTCTGCAGCTTGTGCCATCAGTGCCTCCCCTCGTTTTCCAAAGAGAGATAGATGGGGCAGCTAACTGTTATAAAAAATGGTGGACCAAAATAGGCTTCTCTTTGGGGATATTGTGGACTCGTGTTTTCAAAAGCTGTGTTGTCTTGTCTGATCTTAAGGTGTTCCTACTTTCTTGGTTCTTTGTTTTTAAAACATATGGAGCCAAAAATGCATTGTACATCGGCAGAGATCAACTTTAACATGAGATGCTTTGGACCATCTGTAGACATTGAATCTTCTTTAACCTTTCCTCCACATTGAAGTAGCTTTGCTTAGTGTTACCAGTGCCTTTTTCTACACTGTACCAGGTATGTCTGGAGTGACAGGAGCAGCACTGAGAGAGACCTCCTTTATTAACCGCAGCCTGTCTGCCCTGGCCGATGTTCTGGGAGCAATAGCAGAGCAGCGAGCTCACGTCCCTTATCGGAACAGCAAACTTACACATCTGCTTCAGCTCTCCTTTGCTGTGTAATAGTAGAAGATGATCTTATACTCGTTGCTTAAATGTGGCCTCTGTTTCAAACTGGGAGAGTGTCAGTACACAGTGACAGTTCTGAACTCTTGCTGTTCCCAAAGCTCAGCTGAAGAACAGCATCTCAGTAGGATCATGTGAAGGGTAAAAATTACATTTGACTTGTATTGTTTCATGTCAGGTACAGTTTAAAAGTTAAACTTCAATCTTTATTACTACAGGGTATAACCACCTCCTTGCACATTCCTTAACATTGTGCCCTGTAGCAGCAAGGCAAAGGAGGGAGACAGGACATGGCACTGTAATACAGCTTCCTTTTGTGTTTGGGTCACTTCCTCTTCTTCAGCTCATCTATGCAGAAGCAAGTTTTAAAGCAAGTGTTATTCCTGCAGTAATGTTAGATTTATGTCCGTGTGTGTAGTACATGAGTCTATTTTTCTTCGGCCAAAAAATATCAGCCCTTATGCTTTTAGTCTCCAGTTCAAGCCATTGACAGTGAATGAAGTAACAGTTCTTCAGAGTTGTTGAAACACTATGAATTTTTTGCTTAAGCTTTGATTTTCACTTGGTACTGGAGTCTCTCTGTGACAAGGGAAAGCAAAAAAGAGAAGTGAGAGCTATGCTGTATGGGTGCTGAGCCTGATTTTAACCAAGTCTGTTGCATGACTTTGGTGAAGTGCTGAAAAAGGCCGTTTCCTCCTTTGTTTAATCATTGTCTGTAAACTTTGAGTCTGTTTTGTTTTATTGTCACAAAACTTACAAATATTTGACAAAACTTAAATAAGTGTCCAGACCCATAACATACATGCTGATTAACTGATGAAGCTAATAGGGGGGAAAATCTATATTACAAATTGTGAAACGTTTGGGGGGAAGTACCATATTGTTAGATATAGACTCCCCATGAAGGAGATGTCTCTTTCCTCAGGAGCAGTTTGCTGCTTCATGAAAACAGTGGTAACCTGTGCTCACTGTTGTGTAGATCAGTATGGTAACAGTGTATAACTTACTGAAAATAATGAGGTAAATAAGTATGTTGTGTCTTTTCCCTGCTTTTAGGAGGTGATGCTAAACTGTTGGTGATGCTGTGCATCTCTCCTGGCCAAAAGTATTTAACAGAATCAATGCAGTCTCTGGGATTTGGAACTCGTGCTCGGCAAGTTCAGAGAGGACAAGTCAAGAAAAAAAATTTTCCAGTGCTGAGTAAAGGAAAATAAAACCTAAGATTCCTGTGGATTAAAGTATCATTAATGAGTTCCTCAGACCGAAATGTATATTGTTGTCCTTACGCCTTTCTTTTAGATATCAACTGCCAGATAAAATAAACAATCTTCAACATGGCCTTAGTAAGCAATAAACCTGCTAATGATGTTCTTGCTCCAAAGATAATAGCAAGTATTGACAACATCTACCCACCATGGTGGAATGGTAGAGAAATAAACTGGGCTTTAAGACATGGCTTTGGTGATGTGTTTCTTTAGTTCTACTTGCCCTAAGTCAACAGGGCCCCTGATTTAGGATGGTTCACTTCTGAAAGGCCAAGGGTGCATTCTCTCTTCTCAGTAGAAGTCAGGAGTCTAAATATCATTCCAGTGCTTCAAAGCAAATGAAATACTTCCTCCTATCTTGAATTAAAATGAGACACATCATTTTTTTATTGCTCTTCTATCTAACATGGATGGGGTCATTCCTAATGCACTAGCACTAGGTAGGAATGTAAAGGAACCCATCAGCTGCACTGAATGGAGTTTTGTTCTCTGGTTTTAAGTAGGAAATAATGGCATTAGTGAGATGGAGAAAAATGAGTAAGGCTATATCTGTTATCCCTCTGGAATGTAGCTTAGAGAGCAAATGAGGGATTACACAACTTTTTGAAAACACACTTAAGTTAAATGGTTGGAATGAGTCCCAGCTCTGCTGAGATCATTAAACCCACAGCTTTGCCTGTTTGGGGGGGTATTTTTGCTCCATGAATGCAGAGAGGCCCTGAACTCTACAGATCCTAATGGGACCCAACTTGAACAACTGTTGTAGTAATCTGGCCTCTTATTTCACTTGCATTTCTGAAGCAAGTTAAACTCATCACAACTTGAAGCTGTGCCTGCAGATCAAAAAAGGATAACCATGCAAATAAAACACTGAATGGCAGCTTGTGATATGCTGTTTGTCACCTGCAAGAGGCTTTCACCCTTTTACACCAATGGTGACACAACATCATGCAGGGTTTGTGAGTGCAGTGACACTGGGAAAAGTTTCAAGAAAGTTTAAGTAATATTAGAGGTGAGAAGTAGGCCCAAGATGAACAATTGGGTTCAAGCAGCATCTGATGTGTTCTGTGCACTAAATTGTTGCTCGGCAGAGGCCTTAAGAGCCACTCTTAATTTTTCTTCCACCAGCAATTACTCTGCCCCTAGACTGGGAGAGAGGTCATTGTTAGGTCACTGCAAGAAGCCTTAAATTGCAGTGGCCTGCCCCAAAGGCTGGAGTTTAGAGTACTCCAAGTCACTTAACCTTCACAAGCACAAATATTTATCCAGAGATTATGTAGCGTACTATTATTGGAATTTCACCCTTGAATATATAACAGCTGCTGTGTTGCTTGCAGTGTTCTGGTGCTCAGAACATAAAGTATCCAACCAGAGAGCTGTAATAACACTCGCTTTCCTAAATAATGTCAAGAGGGTAAAAAATGCCTCAACTTTACCTGATTCCAGCAGTTACAGAGGGGTAGAAAACAAATCTGGCCACAGGAATTTATGAATCTGAGTGGTCAGTAAAGCAATCTCAGGTGAGAAAGTGTCAGAGCAAGGAATGTGACCCTGGCTGATGAAATGCAGGAGAAGCTTCAAGCTCACCCTAATCTCTGGACAGCTGGGCTACTAAAGCAGCCTGGATTACAGCTCAAAGAGAGGTTAAGTAACAAGGGCTGATTCCACCAGCAGTTGTAAGTAAGTTCAAGCATTTTAAGGATTTGACATTTTTAAATGTTACACAGAAGTACAACTTGACATGAGCTGTTCTTTTTCTTTTTCTGAAAAACTGCCCTTCAAAACTTTGGATTTATTTATAATCTTTGTTTGTAGGAGAAAAGCAGCAATACTTATTATTGTAGCAGAGAAATAAACCCCTCAAATATGAGCAAAAAGGTTAAATTTCTACATTAACATTAACTCAGCCAAACTGAGAGTATGCAGCATTCCCTGCTCCTGTTTTCCTTGTCAGCACAGCATATCACTCACTGTTTGACCTGCACAACTGAGTGTACAGGATATGCAGGGCAGCAGGGTTAACATTTTGTTCCAACAACATTCAGGTTTGGAATTTCCTGGGTTATAGAGATACGATTGCTCAAGCCCAGCGTCAGAAGGGAAGAAGGGTAAAAGTTGTAAGGGTGAAATGGCTTTACTCCTGCATCTAAGTTGAATTGTCTTCTGTCCCAAGAGTCCCTCAGGCCTGCCAAGGGAGGATGTTCAGACACATAACTGATGTCTTGGGGAAGCAAGAAAAACAGCATGTGCAAGGCCCTATACTTCTTTGCTGCCATTTTTCAGTGTTTTGATCTTTCATTCTTTGAAATTACATCTATTTTAGAAAAGCAGATGTTCACAGATATTCACAGAGCTGACCTCAAGGATTCCCTCATTGACTAAAGCCTATCCTGATAAACCTGTCCTCACTGTCTTGGCACTGTAAAGCTGAAACATACATACCAACACTGGGAGAAAGAAAGAAAAGTTATGTTTGAAAGTATTCTGAAATACTGAGATAGAAGGACATAAGCACCAGGGAAAAAGGTGGTTGCTCTTAAGAGTGCCCATGTAGTCTATGCTAAAATAAGCTTTGCTCTCTGCGTGGGCAGGGGCACAATCAAATGAGGGTAAGAACAACATAAATCAGGAGATCTTTTCAGTGAAGTCCATGAGTGCATAATGCAGCTTTCAGCTGGTGTCTTGGCACACTGAAGCTGGAGTACCCTCAACCCTGCTTCAGACAAGTCACTGTCTCAGAGTGCTGCTCAGTATAGAGGGGTGCTGTTTCCTATCCATGATCCACATGCCTTGGTGGCAGTCAACACATTGACCTTCCAGCACCTGGCTCTCATTCTCCTCCCCTGGGCCCTGACTTTCTCCTGTGACATTTCAGTCAGTGCTCATCTATGTCAGTGTCCTCACACTGTCCCCTGGCTGGCCCTAGGAAATAGGGACACATCCACATGATGCTGCAAGGCACCCCAAACCCCAGCTACCCGTGGCCTGGCCTTCAGGATCGCCTCTTGAATTTATGCTGCTGCTTTCATCATCCTGTAGAGAAGCTAAGGAAATTTCAGTAACAGTATCCAGGAACCTCCAACTCTTCCTCAAAGAGCCTTCCCACTGCAGAAACCACAGCAAACAGAAGAGAATTTGCTCTCATGAATACTTTAGTACTCAGCATCCTGGTTTAGTGTTCAGGTGGCCAAGGAACCAACAGTGTGAAGCCTGACCAGCACAGCACCTGTCTGGGAGGCCCAGGGTCTCACAGTCATGCAGATGTACCCCAGAGCACCTTATTTACAAGTGGCTCAAAAGTACAATTTGGTGTCCACATTTCTCTGTGGATTCATCATTACAGACCGAATTTTTCAGCTGTGGTTGGTGGTTTGCCTTGCAGCCAAAGGAAAGGGATTAACAGGATAGATCCACCTTCAGCAATAACTCTGCCTCCCTAGTCTAGCAAGGGAGTCCAGGCAAAGTGTTTAGAGCATCATCATTCAGTTTGCCCTAGCCAAGGAAACTGACTGCTCAAGGACATCATCTTGAAGAGCACAAAACTGCTGTGGAGAGTTTTCACTTATTCACTTTTTCAGCCTTGAACCCTACTGTGCCTGCCCATCTCTGTAGTGCTGGTCCAACACGTGTCTTTCAGACTTTGCAAATCTGTCCCCAGCTCCCTTGCAGCAGCCAGCTTTCTGAACAGGGAAAGGCAGTGTGAAACGAGGCAGAGCAGATCACGTGGCACAGGTCTCCATCAGTTCTCTCTGAAGATGTTTTACTTGGCACCTGCAAGATACATCTTTGGGCAGAGCAGTTTACCATCTTTTAGCTTTGAGTGCTAAACCCACACTGCAGTTTACAGCACTCTCTCCAGACAAGCCCTTAATCTTCCTCATCACCTAGGAACACTCTTATCAGCAGAGCCCAAGAAAGCACTGTGATCCATCATTGGTTAAGAGAGCTGCATATCATCACAGGGTTAAAACAAACCAGTAATTAAACCAGCCAGTGCTTTTTGCCCACTCTTAAACAAAACCTTGACCTATGCTGACGTTTGAAAATTATATATTTAATTTCCATGTGTGGCTTCATGATTTGGCAGCAGCCGCACCACAAAGAGAACCTGCTTTTAGCCAGGCTAGAAAAGCCATAATCAGCATTGGAAGGTTCACAAAAATGTTTAATTTGTTATTAAATTGCTGATTCCATTTTATGAAGCGCTTTTCCAAACCCTTGCAAAATGTGAGGAACAGGCAGAATGAAGCAGTTACTGGAAAAGGCTTTTGGCTCATGCTATGAAGAAGCAGTCACAAGCTGATGGGTTTAGAAGTCCCTTCCAGACAGAAGAAGCAGCAGCATCTGCTCATGGAGGAGCAAACAGGCCCAGAGTGCAGGGATGCCAAAGGTTCTGCAGCCTTTCACAAAACCAACTTGGCATTTGAACAAGGACATTAACCATAGCCCCAGCCAGATCAAAATGCCACATGTCATATAATGGAGGGCACAGGGGGATCTAATTGAAGGGCATGAGAGAGAGGAAACTCAGCATACAACTATTTTTGGCTTCTTTTAGACCCACTTTATCAAACCAGGTTTTATCTTGCCCTTTTTGTTTTTAAAAAATCTAAGATTAAATTTGAGCCTTCTTGAATTCATGCAAGTATCTCATGAGGTTAGCACATATTATTAAGTCAAATTATCACCCCCTTCTTCTCCCAGCTCCCCTGTCTTCATGTTTTCAAGTATTTCCTCCAACACATATCCCCTCTTACTCTTTTTCTGTTACATGAAATTGCTATCCTGGCTGGGATGAGTCAGTTCACTTAAAGGCAGCACTAGGAGTGGTTTTCATTTTCATTTTCCTCTGGACTTTACTAATTACTTGTGTCCCTCTTCTACATAAAACAAGACAAAACAAATAAACCAAAGGCACCACCAACAAAAATGCCCCACCCCACTACTAAAAAAAGTTTTGGGAGCCACACCAGAGGCTTTGAAGTTCCAAGAGACAGAAGATGATAGCTCCTCCCTCGCTTCAGTTGTCTGGGGTTTTTTTGTAGTGTGAGCCTCCTCCACCTCCTTCTGAGCATGCACACATACACAGAGACTTTGCCCACTACATTCTCTGAGCTGTTGTTTTAGATTATACAAGCTCCAGGAAAACCACACAACTGAATTCTGAAATGGGAGCATTTTGCAGGGCAGCTGATATGCTGGTAAGCACTGCTTCTTTAGATTTTAGTCCTGGGCCTCCAATAATTCCAGCCTTTTTGCCAAGCAGCACCAACACTCCTGTCGATGTGCATTACATGTGCTCTTACAAGTTTTTTTTGCATTTAAGATCCAGATGTCTGCAGTCCACACCTCGGTGTGGGTGGATGCATGCAGTGATCCATGTGCTACCTAGAAATGAGGTAGATGAGGAGCCCATGCTGCTCCAGTGGGCTCTGCTGCCAAGGCTGAATCCATGGAAAATGGTTAGCAGGTATTTACCATGCCAATGTTCAGTGTCTTCTAATGCAACCAAGCTCAGGCAGTCAGATCTGACCAGTTATTTCACAGTGTCTGACTTGCAGGAAGCACTTCCCAACAGAGACGGGGAAAAGTTCCAAGAGGTACTCCAACATTCCGGTATCTAAACAGGAACACCTCATGGAGATGGCACAGGGCTCATCCCAGAGGGACAACGATCCAGGTGTTGGGAAAGTGCCAGGAGATGCAACAGCCTCTGCCTGGGCTGTCTCCAGAGACAAGGGGCCATAAAGGTCATTGTACCTCTGGACAGCCCCTAGTGATGCTGCCTTATGAGAGATGTGCCCAGTCCACTGCCCTGCCAGTCTCCATCCCGAAGAAAGGCTGACTTCTGCAACCAGAATCTGGTTTACCTGCTAGATTTGGCATAACACTTGTAACAGTGAGGGGCAGGATGTGACTGTGATGCTGGAACACGAGAAGCTGTACCTACACATTCAGCAGCATCTGCTCTTTTGCTTGCCCACATGAACAAGGAGAGAGGGCTTCTGATGAACACATTGATGTGGGCTGTAAGAAACTCACAACAGCCACTTTCAGGACATGGGATGCAAGCAATGGGCTTACAGTTTTCCAGCACAAGTAGGCCTATGTTAAATCCCTCTCAGGACCTTAGTCCCATAAACCCAGACACATCAAAATGTCCCAACCTTTGCAGTCCCAGCTGCATGTCATGAGCTCAGCTCCTGTGGCATACAGACAAAAGGCAGAAGAATTGGTGAATAACAAAAATGTTCAAATGTGCAGCTGCATGGGGAAATGGAGCAGAGGACAAGAAGCAAGCTACCTGCACAGTCCCAGGAAGGATCCTGGTAAAGAAATTGTCCCTGGTCAAGTTCCACAGCAGGGAAATGCAACACCTGGGGAAGCTGAGCCCACAGGTACTGCTCCTGATCCTCACATCACCAGGACTGCACCCAGTCTGGCTGTGGACCTTGTATGAGCTTAGAAGTAGCTACAGGTATTACCTTGGGCCATATTCAGCCCAACAGAGCAGCTTCTCTCCATTCATATTTTTCCATCCACCTCCTCTTACTGGAGGTGAGTACCCATGCTCGCTCCTGCTGTATCTCTCCTGAAGTGAGCCCTGCACTTCATGGCACAGTGAGGTGGTCCCTCTGCAGAGCATCCCTGCCAAGCCAGGGAAGGGCCGGTGCCACTGAGGACACCTCTGCCTGTTGGCAGGCAAGTCTGGTGCTGCCCAAGGCAGGAATAATTGCCTTTGCCCAGGACATCTTTCTGGAGATACCAGCCAAGCACAGAGGATCCCAACATCCTGAAATGCTCTGGGAGAGCCAGAGAAGGTTACACACTACAAGGCCAGGCAAGGACAGCACACAGGAGTCCTGCAGCCAGGTGTGCTCTGGGCCACACACAATGTCACAGTTACAGGGCAGTGCAGTAATGGGAAGCTTGAAGGCAAGGCAACCTCACCGCAGGCACAAGAAAGCAAAAGTACCCAGTTCCAAAAAAGCCCAGGGACTTTTGGACACCATCTACTTCCCAAAAAGAGAGGAAAGAGAAAAATGGAAAAGGGCACAAAGTCCTAAGGGAGCTCTGATAAAGTAATGGCAGGCACAAGATAGTGGAGATGCCACAACACTGACTCATACCAATGTTGACTCACCAAAGTCTTGAAAACAACCCTGGCAGATTAGATTTCATGGCACTTAGCACCAGGCAGCTGAGGTCCCATCCTCATTGCTGGGATTTTGCCAGATCCTGGCCAGAGTCTCAGCTTAGGCACCTGCTTTTGACAGAGCAGGTCTGAGAGCCCCCTAAAGGAGGATCCCAGTGTCTCCTACCCACTCTCATCAAGTGGCACTGCCATCAGGTCAGTCCCTGCAGGTATCCCACTGCTACCTCCTGCTGTCTCCTTCACCTAGCTGCTCACACTGCCAGACACTTGTGGCCTGTAGCCAGACAGGGCTGCTCCCAGTTTGGACTCAGCAATCACAGCACACGTGCCCTGGGAGAGGGCACCCTTGGACAGTTGACATATTTGAGGTCAAGGTCCTCTGCAGAGCTGATCTCCCACAAGAATCCCAAGCTCCATACACACAAGAGCCCAAACATGATAAAATAAGGGCAATCAGGAGTAAAATAAGCCCTGGCCTAATGATGTAGTGAGCACAGAAGACTTATAAAGGTCCTGCCAAGTTACTGCTGCCCTCACCCATGCCATTGCTGCCTGCAGTCCTTGCAAGTTATTCCATACACCAGCACATCCCAGGGAAGAGTCAGCAGTTTCACCATTGGCACATACCAGAGAAGAAGAAAGTAGAAACAGTTTTCAGGACACACGCCAACAACTGATATCGCTTTTAGAGTGAACAACATTTGGAAAAGACTAAGAAGCAAAGAAACCCTACCCCATTATCTCAGCAAGACTCTCCTTACTCCTCTCTTAGGCAGCTCATCCACAGGACCATGATACTGGAACTTTCTGATCACTTCTCCCAGACCTTCTACTGAGCCTGTCTCTCTTATTTGGCTCTTCACCTCAGAAAGACAGCTGTCCTCCTGGACCTGCTACCAGCTGCAGCAAGCTAAACACCTGAGCCCACTAGGAACACTTCTTGGTCCTTGCTATCAGGCAGAGGAGTGGCTTAGAGACACCAGAAACAACTTCATGCTCCTCTACACCTCAGATGTCACCACTTCACTGCCCCTGCTGTCACTGTGCCTTGTGGGCATCTCTGTTTTAACCATTCATCCTGAAATGGGAAGAAACTGTAATTGGAGCTTTGTGGGCACCTGCTTGGAGTTAGAGGCAGTTCTGAGCTAAGGACGACCTCGATAAAGCAGGACCAGAGTGGTGCCAGTAGCAGTCTGAGGCAGCAGCTTTGAGGAGTCTTTAAATTTGGTTAACCTTAAAGAAACTGCGTTGTCCAAAAGCCAAGCTGATGCTCTGGCAGTGTCCTTGTGAAAAAGAAGCCTGTAAGAGCTCCTATCTGCCTCTATCCTGAAAATAGGATAAAATTGACATTATGGCTGTGAAGCTCTCCCTAAGTTTACCTAAACATCCCTATGTTTTTCAGTAGTAATGCTGAAAATTTTGGAGCTCAAATGGGTTTGAGCTGAAGCAGATTGGAAAGCAATGGTTTGTACCCTCTCTATTATTTGCAGAACATGTGTTAAGCAAAGTCATACCCAGCTGCTCCCACAGCAAAGCCTGCTGCTCATCCCGCTGCAGGATGTGGCTATAGCTGAATGCCAGAGCTGCCAGCCAGGCTGGGCTGGGCTGGGACAGGGGCACAGCTGCTCCAGGGGAGCTGTCCACACCTCCTAGCCTCAAGGCATTGTGTAAGTGTGGGCTTGGATCTAGATGTTCCAAAACGCACCTGTACCTGAGGCTCTCTATTGCTCTTCTGGCATGGGCTCCTTAAGCACTCCTAATGTCAAATTTTCCCTTCAGCCAGGTATGCTGGGAAGCATTCCTTGTTTTCCTTCTTACAAGCTGGAAGCCTTATGCAAAAGCATGATTCAGGAGCTGGGTTTCCAAAGAAAACCTAGAGCCCTGCAACAGCTGCATACATGTACGGAAAAGGCTGGCAATACTGACATTGTCCCCTGCCCCCAGGTGCCTCACTGGCCTTAATGCACCCGCTCTGGTGACTGGCATGTCCTTCCTGGCCATCCCAAGAACAGGAGCTCCCAAAAATGCATCACATAATCCAACAGCACTTTAACATAGGAATTATGGGAACCCTCTCTTCACGTCTGACTAGAAAGACCACAGGCCGAAAGTTTGCATTAGCCACAGAAAGACCACAGGGGCAGAAAACACTACCTGACAGCAGTAGTGGTGCACTGTGTGTGCCAGAGGATAGGAGTGGGACACTGCTGGTGTAACTGGTCCTGCAAAAACAGAGGGTTTAAGGATCCACTTCAGGGGAAATACAGGTAAAATCCAGGCTGGTTTCCCGTGCCTCTTCCATAGACCCAGAGAGCCACTTAACCCTAGAGATAGGAGTGCAGCTCATAAGCCAGGCAGGGAAGATTTCAGTACTACTGTGCCACAACAATAAACTGCATCACAGACCTTATTTCCAGCAGTGGGTATCTCAGAACAGGGCAAAAGCCTCCTCCCTCTCATCCTCATAAGTTATACATGGAGGAGGAAGACCTGGCTTCCTGCAGTGCAAGATTTTGCTCAGGAATCTCCATCCCAATAGCCAGAGCTCTTTTGAATACATTTGAGTTTGCGAAGGTGCAGAGGGGAGGGTAACCCCAAAGCCTGAACTGAGCAGAAGAGTAGGGAGGGGCTGCCTTGATGCAATTCTTCCAGTCTGAAAGCTCTTGATTTGACAGAGTCAAGGCTTTCTTTTTTACAAAGGTGGAGAACATCGATTTTTCTTTTTTACAAGGGTGGAGAACATGGATGTGGGAATTGGTCTCCATTGCCACAAATGTCAGAAAGCTTGTCATCTGGTTGTAGCAAAGGGGCTCAATCCTTTCTGTGGCTAACACAAAATCATTTTTCCTACACTGAATGCTCTGCTCTTACTAAAGTGGTAATTTCCATGTGGTGGCTTGACGTGTAAGGCTGCAGATTGGAAAGCAGCTTATGCCATATCCAATTATCTCATTGCATATGAGAACAGCATTGATTGGAGAAGGGAAAACAAAGATTGGTATAAATGTATTTATGAGATTTAAAATAAAAATGTGATGTTTATATTTCCAGGAGTATAAGCAAAACAGAATTTTAAAATAGCACAGCTATGCTCTTCAATAACCCATACTCAGCTGCCCCTGCAGTCTGCCAGAAAGGATAAATATGATTTTTCATCATTATATCTCTGTAGACTTCCCATGCAAGGCTTGCCTATCTGGATCTTATTCTAGCAACTACAATCTCCTGCTTCCAGAGACAAACTCAGGGCTCAGAAGGAGAGATACAGCCTATTGGCAGATATAGCCTGGCTGACTGGCAGCATGAAAATACAGCATGGCTACGGGCTGGAGTGTGTCCTCAAAAAATGAGCTTCAGCACCAGCAAAGGAAGGATGGGAACTACCTTGAGCTGGGTTTACTTTATAAAATGCTGTTTGGATGAGAGAAATGAAACAAGATCCCTTCTGTACATTTCTCCATCATCTCCTTGCTTCCTCCAGCCCATCCCTGCTGACCAAAGGCATTCCTGCTGACACCAGGCTTACCTTCTCCTGTGCTCCACTCCTGCGGAAGCCCTGCACCAGTCCAGGCTACCACAGAGTATGCCATGCCAGGAGGGTGTTGTACAAGAGGCCCCTGTGCACTGTCTCGCCAAGCTGTGGGCTCAGCCACTGTGCCAGCTGCTCCTGCTCCAAATGGGCTGGAGGCAACAGCAGAAGGGCCCAGCTGTGAACAGGCAACAGCCCAAGCCTAATATCCAACTACCCATGGGGGCCATGGATCTGGAGTTGGATGGTGGGCAAGTGTTTGCAATGGCACCCAGATGTCATTAAAAACTCCGTATGGAATTTAAAATTCAGTACATCTGATTTCCTGGATGCACCTAAGAGAAATACCCAGTGGTGCTGCTGCTCTGACACTGCAGAGGCTTTGCAGAAGGGAAGCTCGCTCCAAGTCGGAGAGAAAAACTTCACTGAGTGGTATTTGGGGCTCGCTCACACCCGTCCTGTCTCCAGCCATGGCACGTACGTGACACAGAAGGCACAGAGCTGGCTCAGCACACACACGGCCATGCTGTTCCAGCTACAGCATCTCAGGGCGCAGCTGCCCGGGCCCCGGGGATTTCTCATCCCATTAAATTGGTCTGCCTTTCTTAAACCAACTCATCAGAGGGAAGGAAGAGTCTATCAGCGTTTCACGGCTAAATTATCCCGTGCCAGTGGTGACCAGAGGCTAAAGGCCATCAGCTTTCTCCCCAGTGCAGTTTGGGTACACATCCTCCTTGCGGGAGCCGCACCCCCGAGACCTGGCACGCTTCTTGTGCGCCATTCGGTGAGGACCCGACGGCTTTGGGCTCTGCTCACTCAAGTACCGATCACCCCGGGCTGCCCCAGGGGAGATGGTCAGCCTGGACCTCGCAGGTTGCTGGCAGAAGCTGCCCGAGGTGAATCGGCACCACTTGGCCCACCGGCCCGGCCCGCCCGGAGCCCCCCGGCCCGGCTNTGTGCCATCGGTGCCCATCGCTTCCCGCTGCCACCACGGCCGGGCAGAGCCGCCAGGGGACACAGTGGGTCCCTTCCTCCTCCCCACGCCCCACGTGATGGGCGTCCTGGAGAGACGTGAAGGCAGGAGCAAAGCCTTGGGCACCACGAGCCCGGGAAGACACTCCAGGGAGGGGGAGGCGTCGTAGCAGAGGCTCCGAGATGGAGGCAGACTGGGGTAGGAATGGGGAAACAGAGCTGCCACGAGAAGCCTAGGCAAAATAACCAGGAGCCAGCCGACCCAGGCAGAGGAACCACCCTGCTGGGGTGAAGGAGCTGCAGCTTCCCAGTGAAAGTCTTTAGGACAAGTTTTTGCTCCAAAATGTTAAGACTCTTAAAACGCAGTGTCAGCCTTCAGCATCTCAGACTTTGCTGCCAAGAAATCCATTGACGAATTGCTCCCACTTCACCCAAAACACCTGGGTAGTTTCACCCATCAGCTTTAGCACACACCTTCAGGCCTTACTTCCATGCAGCTCCCACAGCTGGCATGCCTCAAAACAGATCCAGTGTAGTAACCACACTGTCCCCCTTCCACACTGCAGCACTTGACTGAACCCACAAAGGATTTTCTGGTACCGTGAGAAGCTATGTCTTCTGAGACAGACTTATTCTATACATTTTGGTCAGCACAGTTCACCCTAGAGGGCAAGAAAATGCCATTACTTGCCAAGCAAATAAAGAGAAGTGACCAAGTCCTTCAGATTTGGGTGACTTAATATTGATCTGTTGTTTAGTTTTATCTCCATACAAAGCTCCATGTGTAATCAAATCACCCTCTTCCAGCTTCCCCAACAAGCCAAAGTTGGATGAGTTTCTAAAGTCCTTGAAAATTTCTATACTGGAAACATGTTGGAAAGGTAGAATTAGAAAGGAATTATAAGTTTGAATAATTCAAAGAAAGCGGTCTGGTATGCCAGAACACATTCTTTCCCCCAATAAAACCAAGCCAAGACCCCTCTTCCCAGCCTTATAAAGAAAGGTCTGAAGGACCCTGAGATAACTAAAAATATGCAAAAGCAGCAATTTCTATAGGTCGCAAACAAATGTTACTGTATTAGTATACTTGGAAAGATTGGTTAGTAAAGGAATAGAATATTCAAATATATAGATTATATAAGCAATTGTAAAGGAGAGCTCGCTCTCTTGTCTTGCTCTTGTCTCTCTTGCTCTCTCTTGCCTCGCTTTTTCTACGTTCTTTTTCCTGCTCTTTCTGCTCTTCTTTATCCTTTTTTCCCGGCTCTCTCACTTCTGTTCTGTTACTCTCTTTCTTAGCCATCTTAAGTCTTGAACTCATGTATTCATATTTTACCCCCTTTTGTATTGTTCCCTCTGAGCCTGCTTTGAGCTTCATCTGCTGGCTCCATGCAGGCTCTGTCTCTCCCCCATGCCCTGAAATAAACTACTAACATCTAACTCAACTATAGAGGTCTCTGCCGTGTCCTGGACAGTCCACACCCCGAAAGTGTCTCTTACAGAAACACAGCAGGACCTGGACAAAAATATGAAGTACAAGAAAGGAAATCTCAAGAGCAGGAGCAACACCACAATATCAAAGTTCATAAAAAGTAAATTTTGTCCAGAGAAAAGGAAAAAAAAAACATTTACAAGAGGCTCCCAATGAGCAAGTGTCTTCTATAAGAGATCCAGGTAGTCATCCTGCGGCACTCCTTCACAGATTTATGACCCAAAAGAAAACTTCCCTCTATCCATGCCAGACTCCAGGCTAGCAGGTTAGGTGACTTTGGTGGAGTGCTCTTCAGCAGCACTCTGCATCCCATAGGCTGGCAGCCGTCCTTGGATGCAGCCCCTAGGAGGAAGCTGACAGGATCTCTCTACATCCTTGGGAGCTCACGTGCTTGGTTTTATTGACTAACCACCACGAGCAGCTTAACTTGTCTCTTCAGCCAGATTCAGACCCCTTTAGTGTCCCACTGACTACAACCTGTTCAGCTGTGTTCTTAATACCTGACAAAAGCCCTTTGGCACTGTGCTACTGAGAATAGCAAGGAGGAACAGGAGTTGTTCCAGTGACTGCAGTGCCTCTGGGTTTGTCATCACAAGCTAAGCTCATATGGATTAGTCTGGCAGCAAATTGATTTCTACAACCCATCTTAAATGGAAGACATAGTCCTCCTCGGACAGAAAAAAAAAGCCACACAATTACCTTTTTTCTATCCATACTTTATTGCAGGTGTATATATAATTATTTATATTTTATTTTAAACAAAAAAATCCTTTCATGGAAAGGATAAACTTTTACCATTAAAATAGAGTGATTATAACATGAATATTTTACAAATATGTACAAATATTGGCAGCTAGTTTCTAACATCAGCTGATAAATGCTTACACACCAATGTCTACCAAACTATCAAACCCAAAAATAAGAGACCTTCTAAATCCAAACAAAAAATAAATGTATTACTAGCAGAAACAGGTGATTTTGCTTTGTTTTTTTTTTAATACAAATACAAAAGTTGCATAATAGATATTCACAGTGCTCGTAAGATATTGATTCATTCTCAGGCTATACACAAAAGTGTCTGGTCTCCCCTTCATATGTGTACGTCACTTACAGTACTGGAGGGAACTGCACAGACCACGGAGAGAAGATGGTCAGACCTGTAGAGTTTGCCTTCCCTACCAGCCATGAATAAATAAAAGAATCCCCCAGGAATGTACAAGGCAGTGGATGCTCATGCAAGAGTCAGTTACACCATGTTCAGGCACTGGTGCATTTTTTAAGTAGTGGCAGCAGGATTACAGCACTTCACCAAATCCTTTGCATGCCTGCTAACTGCAAAACCAGAAGAGTGAGCTGCCTGGTGGCAGTAAACACTTCCGTGATGTACTTAGGCTGAAGCAGATATGGATGTGATTGTCTTTGGGAAAAGGGTGCACATGGTGCACATGCATTTTATGACACTTTTCCAAACAACTATAACCACATAAAAACGGAATTTTGACCTTTTTTTCCTGTTAACAATCATTCCCAGAACCACAAGTAACTGTAAATCTGCATGGGTGGGAAAGCAACAGGTTAGCAGGGTCCTCACTCCAAACCTCCTCCTCATGTTTTTTTGTGGACAGGCACTGCTGCAAGGCTGCTCCCTGTAGTACAGCCACTGGCCTCCTGAATCCTGGCCATGCCCATCTCCCGTGTCTTACAGCCAAACGGGACCCAGGTAACAGGGACTGACTGACAGTGGGAGGCTTGATTTCCTTTACCCATTTAGATCAATTTAGAAGAATTTATTTTGCATGCAGCAAACATACCTCAAGTATTTTGCAAAGGCATTTTGGCTTTGTTTGGAACAAAGGAAAAGAGGCTACAGTGAACACACAGTTCCTAATCGTTGATTACAAAAAGAAAGAACAGTGGGATCAAAGAGGGCACAGTCAATTAAGTCATGGCTACAGTGCACGCAGCTTGGGTTTGGTGGTAGATTCATCTCAGAGGATGCCAACTTCAGTAAATGCAGATGCACCTGCATGGCCTCTACATCACACACAGAAGTGGCAAGACTCCATGACGGACTTCATGGATTTGCTACTTTGATGACTTACGGGAATGCAATTTACCAGACAGCTACTGAGCTTGCAAGCCCAGCAATAAAACAGCAGCTCAAACCTTCCTTGTTGTAGTCTGGCTATCTTCAGTTTTTGATGACCAACACTGCACAACACACACTTCCCCAACCAGCAGAATAGTTTTCCTCTGCTTCTAGAGCTTGCCAGAACACACTAGATGTCTGTCAAAAGCTGGGCACAAAGCTGAGCCTTCAAGTACAAGCTTCCCAATGCTGGGAATTGATGAGGGGAGGAAATCAAACATATTTATTTGCACGTAACAAGGTAGCAGGATGTTTTCCACACCAAATGTTTGAATCAAACAGCATAATTATGATTATTTCCTTAGCGAGAGCCAGCCCAGCCAGATCCACCACTCTCAAGATCACCAGACAAGTACCCTGGCCTGGCACACAAACACCCTACACTTCCACCATGATTTATTAAAAACAAAGAAAAGAACTACATTAAAGTATGAATCAAAGTAAGGGGTGATCATGCCTGGACAAATTCTCCAGTCACACTCCTCTCTTCAAAAACCAGTCAGTTAATGCTCTTGACCTCTGTCCATTCATAAGCAGCCAAGGCATTTGCTTTATCTCCTCCCTATCTCCCCAACGATATAATACCAATCTGCATCAGCAGATTGTCAGCAGTGGTAGACAGCTGACAGTCAGATCAATTTGTTGCAATAAAAAGAAAAAAACAAAAAACAAAAAAACCACCACACACATTGTATTTGGCTGGATGCTTAGAACAGAATAACAACAACAAAAGAAGAAGAAACTCCTGGAAGACCAGGTCTTGCTCCCAGTGCAGACACTTCCATACACAGCCCTCCAAAATGTGCTAAGAGCATATCCTGGCCTGACAGCTGTTGGCAATGTTGCAGCAACACAAACTGAAGACAACCAAACTACTAGTACACTAAAATTGAGACATGGACCACAAGAGAAAGGCAGAAATATGACATAGACTTTAAATTTCTGATTAATCCATTTAGACACAGTTTGCTTTACTAGCTCAGTGTAAGTTTTGGTCCACTGTTTTTTGGTTTTTATGTTGGTTATGTCACTGCCAAGGGTGCAGGCCACTTCCATTTTCTGCTCAGACAGACACTTCCAATGCCAGTTTTAAGTGCTACACTGCAGTTGATTTGCCCTGTAGCCAGGTCTGCAGAAGTGATGCCACTTACTGATAGAGAGCTGAATAACAAAGCCGCTCACCATCTCCTGCAAGAACCAGAGTGACATCACATGTGTTAATGAGGTATATATTTCCATGATGAGCTGTTTCCTGGTATGGAAGAGCTCCAATCTCATTACACCACAAACTCCTCTGGGAGCTGGTCCTCTCCCAGAAGATCCAAGGAGAGGCAGTTCATGGATCGCTTCCCATAAAGAGCAGACTTGGTTTTGCAGTCCGCTGTGGAATACACGCAGCCGTAGACAGACAGCTTATCCTCGAGGCTGCAGCCGAAGGTGTAGCTGTGGGACGTGTCTGAAGACAGCGTGGCACTTAGTGATGGGTGCCGGCGCTTGTACAGGCGGATGTCATCCAAACTCTGGCTGTGCTGGTCCATGCAGCTCCGGCTTTTGGGAGATCTGACCTGCCAGTTCAGCAAGACACACACAAACAGAAACAATGAACTCAGACACAGCCTAAGGATGCTGGCTATGCATGTGAAAAGTTTCTCAAAATTGTTGTTCCCCTCTTTCAAAAGGGCCTTCTGAAGGATGTTGGCTTAAAGAAAGGGCTGTGAACAATTCAGAAATTACAAGTGCATTAAGCTGCCCTGCCACATTGAGCTGGATCCTGATCTCTCTGCCCTGTGTCCTCAGTGTCCAGTACAACGGGTGAAACACTTGACAGATACTGACACCTGAATGACCTCACACTTCTTGGCAGATCCATGCAGTTGTCCTCAAATGGACAAAGTGCACTTAACAAAAAATTACCCCAAGTGCTTGAACACACCGAGTAAAGTCTAATGAGCTGAAAGGAAGGTTCAGAAGGCAACCATGCAAACTAATGGGTTACAGCGTCCAGTAATTGCAACAGTTTCTACATAACACTGTTCCGCAGAGAGCAGCAACAAATCTTCAGTGATTCCCAGAGGCACCATCTTGCTACACAAGCCTCTGTGAAGGAATTATAAACCATTTGAGAGTATTTCCAGCTTCAACATTTGCATTTTTTTTCTTGCTTTGCCTCTTTAATAATCACCTCTTAAATGCTAATATTAAGGCTAATTTCAAGAATATAATTTTGAAACCAAGACACTTCTGTTGGCACCACAGAAAACTTCCTCCCAGTATTACTTCTCTCACTGCCATGGGAGGGGAATTAAAAATCTACCCTGAGGAAATCATGTGCTTGCTGGCTCAGCTGTACTTCAAGAAATAGGAGTATGTTGCACTGTCTGGTTAATGCTAAGGAAACCCTGCAGCTTTTATTTACATGGCCTTGTAAGGAAGATGTCGATAGTTTTCTAAGGAGGCACCAAGTATGTGATGCACAAAAGTGGTAGCCAGGTCTTTGCAATCATACAGACAGCCCTGTGTTGAGCAGAACCATTTTTATAAAACAGATGCCTCATGATCATTTAACAGCATAAGAATGATAACATTAGTAACTTTAAAAACATTACAGCTTTAAGCAAGATTCCCACTTCCACCCATGAGCTCTTAAGTCTTCCACTCAAATAGAGGACTAAAGTCATTATGATTTTTACTGCATTGTCTTCAGCTTTGGAAAAAAATAACAAAGATTTTAATTAAATCTCCTACAGCACTTTATGGACTATTTTGCTGATAAATAAAAATTTCTTATAATTTTTGACTGGGTCCAGAAAGAAACACAGAAAATTTTTTAGTAAGTCCTAAAAAGTGATTGAAATCTTTGTTAAGAGTTTTAGAACTCTCAGCAGATAAGGCAAATTTGGATTAAGAGAGGGAAGACAGGATAGAGGTGCTTTTTTTGTGGTTTTGTTTTGTTTGGTTGGGTTTTTTTTCCAAAAAACCCAACATTTCTACCCCAGTGGGTATACAGCTATACTTTGAAAAGAAGTCTTAAAAAGACATTTTAATAAGCTTCCTCCAAATATAACTTCTTCTGTGACGTACTTTACCATATATAGTTTCCCTTTCTCAAGTGTTTGATGAAAAGAAAACTTTGAGAACAAAGACTTCAGTACACACAGACTATAATCACACAAATGATATAACAACTAGAGCTTGAGCATCTGGTTTTGCTCTGATGTAAGCTACTTCTGCCTTCAAGATGATCCAAGTCTGCAACTCACATCCAAACTGCATAGATGGTCTTTGCTCTGTATTGCACTGAAAATCTGGAAGTGGCTCATTTTCCATGTCCCATCTGGAAGACTAAGGTAGATAATAACTGGCTTGTGAGATCTCCCTGCTGATTCCTCCAAACCTTTCTATATTATTCTGAGCCCAAATGCTGCTCTCATCCTATTCCTGAGAGCAGTAGCTGGCCAGCAGCTGGTTTTGATTACACCATGTAAAAATCAGTCAAATCCAAACTAATCCAGGTGTCCTGATTTACAGCTATCTCCATTACACAAGAGCTCAGTTCAATGCCCTCACACAGACCCTCCTGCCGAGCAACCACTCCCTTACCTGGTGAAGGGATTCCACACTTTGGCCTCTCATTTTGATTAGTGTGACTTGCACCACAGACAGAGATTCCTGATTTATAGCTGCAAAGAAGAAGCAAGAAGTGAAAAGCATAGCAAGTTTGAGGTTTTGTGGGCTGTAGAAAAGGCAAGTTGCTCTCACAGGCCACATTCAAACAGTCCTATCTTAAGATAACTATGCATCATTAAGCACTCTCAGTACTCCAGGAGTTTTGCTCACAAGTACTCATTTTTGGCCCCTAAAGATCAATGTCTGAAAACTTTCAAGAGAACAATTTCTTGACAACTTGTCCCCTTTTCACCCTTCTTGCTTTGCTGTAAAGGCTGTACATATTAAGGCCAGACACAAGCCACAAAACTTTACCTAAGAATTCCTGTGACCATCCCATTATTCTGTGGTTGAGCCCCTAGGCTGTTTTATGGCATACAAGATATTAAAGCATATTCCTTCCCTACAAAAGGTTTACCTCAATTATCTTTTTGTCATTAACCGAATATAAGCTTGGCACATTTAGAGCAGGGAGACACTGAGGAGCACAGAGGAGAGCAGCACTGTACAACACAGAATGCTGGCCTGTAAACGCTAGATGAGCTGCCTGCAAATCCTGTTGCAGTAGGGCAGTAAATAGCACTGGCAGCTGTTTGGAATGAGATAAGAGTTTTTGTAGATCACTCAGATTATGCCTGTTGCTAGAGCCTTAAAGAACAGCATTGCGCAGCAGCAGAAAGCCATCTCACCTTGGCAGCTAGCAGCATCTAGAGGCAGGGATTCAACAGATTCTCCCACAGTGGCCTCCTCTAACTGGTCTCCCTCTAAAGGCTCATCTACAGGCATCTCCTCTGGCTCATCTACTGCCAGCTCAAGCTCTAGGAGGAAGAGAGCAGCAGGAGAATGGTTAGCATCACTCTTGTGCTCCAAGCTGCTGTCTCTTACTCCCTGCCCTCCTGCAGAAGACAAAAGTCAGCTCAGAAGTTGCTCCACATGTCCAAATTCTTTACCATCATCCTGAGTGTCATCTTCAGCCCGCCCCTTGCTGCCACTGTCAATGCCAGAGCTACCGTAGCTGATGGTTGAGCTGCAGGATTTCTCTTTCCTATGCACCCGGTCAATGCCGAAGGGCTCATCCACCGACATTTCCACAGACACGCGGTGCCTGGAGTCAGCCTCGATGCCCGAGGTGTGCGAGCTGCCGTGGCTCCCCGTGGACTGGCGTGACAGGCGGTTATCCCTGCGGCTGCCCCCGCTGCTCCCGCTGCCACGGGAGTTCTTGTCGCACGGGTCCAGGTCCATGTCGAGAGTGTCACTGATATAGGACTCCCGGTAGCGCTTCTTCTCTGGGGAACAAAGAAGGGAGAAACCAGTCAGAATTTTAAGGAAGTGGAACTGAATATATTCAGGAAGTTCTGTTGGCACCAGCCAACAACTAATAAATGACTGCTGCAGCTACTGAACAAATAAGGGACAGCTTTGTATTTTGTTTGCTCAACAGATGGATGCTCGGGATGTTGTAAAAGCATTAGTCATACCTGCAGTAAACCCAGCATCTCCTACATTAGAACAGGCAGTTATGATACAGAAAACAGTAAGTTTCAGAGTGAAGGTCAATAACAACAAAGCAAAACAAGCAAACAAAAAACAGCAATTACTTAGTGAACATCAGTGCTCAATCTTTAAAATCAGATGCACTGATTGGTTCTTGAAGTATCCACCACTGCATGAAGTCAGCTAAGAACAAGATTCCTGTGGCTAGTATTTATTAATGATTTATTATTTCTCCCATGGCTTGTATGTGCTGAGGGTGGTTGAGAAATCCATGAGACACTAATGGACACAGAACAACCAAGGGCTTTTTGCCCACAGGCCCACAGGCCAATTGATCATCCTAGTGAAAGTAGCCTTTCTACAGGCGATTGGCACGTGCCACTGGTTGCACAAGGCTCAAGGCCACTGCTGTAACCCCACTGAAGGGAAAGACAGAAACCACTTGAAAGGAGTTATTACCCCTCTACTGCTCTCACACAAACACACTTTCTGATCACAGTCCCACAACGTGGGAGCCATAAATACTTCTTAGGAATGGACTGAAAACATACCTAACACCTCTGTTTCTATCACTGGCTCCCTGATAAGGCAGAAACACCATTAATTAGATGAGAGTAGGCACCATGAAACAACAGGAGAGACTAACAGACTGTACTTTTCCTCTTATCAAATTCATTTGAGTTTTCCCCAACATACCTTCAGCCTCCTCCAGTTTTTGGATCTGCTTCAAAACTGGCTGAATATTCAGAAAGAGCCGGTGGCTATTGCTGAGTAGCTGCAGTAAATGGCGTGACCTGAAGGGGCAACCCGTGTAGTAAACCAGTTTCCGTGCAGAGGGCAAACCATCTGGCTGGATTTCAAATTTTTTCCCCTGCACAAAGAGGAAAGATGCCAGAGAAATGAGCAAGAGCACATTTTCAGCCACACAGCTACCAGAGATAGCTGTGGTCTTGTGTGTGCAAGTGACAGGACCTGGGGCAGCAGCACGGGCAGGCTGACAGCTTTGCCACAGCCCAGGCTGGCAGCCACTGGCAGATGGCCTCCATTCCATCATACTCACCAGAAAGGCCAGCTTCCCAATGTGTGACCAGGGAAAGTCATAGAGGAGTTGGCGAACGTGATTCACCTCCTGCAACACATCAAACTCAGAGTGACACAGGGACTGGCAGGTACAGGGTGGAGTCAGCGATGTGCAAAGAATTTGCAAACAACCAAGAATTTGAGATATGTGGAGCCTGGTGTTCACAGGGAGGCAGAGGAGCCGCGGTGAAGGGGGAGGACAGGGAACTGGGGAGAGTTAATGCTACACCAGAAGGCTTTCACAGCAGTCTGTTACCTGATAGATGTGCATTCCTCTCAGGGTCAGGCCCAGGATAACTGTCGGTCGATCCTCCTTCTTATCCTAAAAGAAGAGAAGAGTCAAAGGTTAATCTACAAAGACCACGCTCTTGTTCTGGCACCTACTGCAGGAGAGGTAGCAGGACTCCTCATTGTGCAGATGCCATCAGCTCATTTGGTTTTTATTATGTTTGTAAAGTGCACCTTGCCTTGTTGACCCCTGAAATACCTACACCTAAAAGCCCCTCATGCTGGGAGGCTCAGGCATTTCACCAGCATATGTCCTAGCTGCCCTGGACAGGGAATCCTGTAGCTTCAGTGATTTGAGAGTATGGACAATTACTGTTCTCAGAGGCACCTTGTAACCTCTCTTGTTAAATACATGCTGTCTCTGCTGTCCTCATGAACATGCACCACTCTTGCTCTCCAGGTGACAGAGAGCCCGAAACAGAAGGGGAACCCATTCCCCTCTCCTTGCCACAGCACTGCTGTTTCCATCCAGGGATTTGCTAGATCTTAGGTGTACCTTGGCTGGAGGGAAGCTAATCAATGCCCAGTTACTGGGACTTTCATTCTAACATTCAACCTTGGTGTTGGGTGGTTTTACATGAGTTGTATTACCTAAGTTGAAATACTGACTTTTAACTCATGCTGCATCTTGGTATGATATACTTGGTCTCTAATCAGATTCTTTTGCTTGAAGACCAAAGAATATCATAAACTAGTTCTTTCAGCCTCTCCTACCACAGCAGAGTTAGGGAGGGGAATGCATGCATTTTTTGTTAGGAGGAAAAGCAGAAAGAAAATTTGGGGGTAAAAATGTATGGACTGACAGAGCTCAAACTTTACATCACAACTTTCTCTCCTCATCTGGCTTACAAGATATAAGCCTTGTGTCAACACATTAGCTCACCCTTTGCCTCTGGTACCATCCATGTCTTCAGTTCAAAGTCACTAAGAAATATTTATTGCCTCCTAAGGACAAAGAGCTTCATAAATCAGTATTGGTCTGAATGAGATCTATGGAGTGTGTTGTGGGTTTTTTTGCAGTTTCCAATCTCAGAAGAAGCCATGAGGAGGGTGTTAAGACAAAAGTGACTGCTTTTGAAATCTCAGGGCAGTCAGCACACCAGCACCTTCACCTGGCATCCCTCTGCACTTGATCAGGAAATCTGTGACACAAGCATCACCTAGGAGGAACACCTCTCACCACAAAATGAGATAACTGTGTCACACGGCAGAAATAAGATATATTAAGGATCAAACAACACATGGAAGAGTACATAATGCCTAAGTTCAAGCCAGACAGGAATTTAAATATTAAGAGCAACTAATTTCACAGCCTTGGTTGCTTTGGGATATAAAATGTATCATGTCCTGCCAGCTGGATTTCTTATGGCATTCAAGTGTAACTAACTCTCTCATGACTGCATCATTAACAACATTAAGAATCAAAACAGAGAACAAAAGAGGTAGGTGTATATCTGTGGTTTGCAAGCAACTAAGCCTGGACTACTGATCAAAACTTATTTTCTCTTGAAAATGCATGTTTCTTCAGTAACTAGAGCTGCCAGGTATGTTCAAAGGACATGGATACTTCCCAGACATAATTCCCACTGAGCACAAAAACCCAGAAAGTTTAATTATGAGTCTGACAGAGTATCTCCACTTGGAAAAAAAGGATCAAGCCATTCCTAATTGCACAGGCAAGTTTCACTCACCTAAGTGGAACATAAAACTTCTCTTTAGTTCTGTTTCTAAGATCTAAACACTCAGCATGTGAAAATGAATCGCCTTTTGTTTAAGCAGGTTTGGGTAAGGAGTCTAAGAAGCAACAATGTAGGAATCCAAAACTACTGAGAAAAGCATACAGCTGAAAAAATGCCAGCCACTCTGGCAGGGTTGGAGAAGGAATGGAATACGAAGGTTGGAATGACTCAGTGTCACCTTCAGTTATTACACAACATTTGTGTGAAAGCTGGCCGACCTCTTGTCATTTTTTCAATGAACTACAACAAGAAAAAAAGAGGCTTCATTGATTTCCCTGGTCCAATTCTACTGGCAGGCAGGGACAAATACGAAGTTTTGCCATTCCTGTGGCCACTTTCTTGGCCGAGGAACAAATCTAAATTCCAGCTATATCTGTATATTGGCAACAGATTTGTTTGTGGGGACAGGCCTCATTGGCTGAGCATTTTAGATTTGTTTGGCCTCTCCAAATCAGGGGCAACCATCCCTCAAACAAACAGAAAAAGAAAAATGCCATGGTGCACTCAATTAATGATGGGAGAGAAGTTCAAAATAAGAAGCTCTTTGTTTAACCTTCTGCAGCCTGTAGAAGTGGACAGGCACATCTTCCAGCAGGCAGGACTCCTTAATGAACTTCAGCACCGCTTCCTTCGTGCTCAGCCCTTGCTGTTCTCGGTGCATCTCTGGGGCATGTTTCAAGATGTAGTCGCTCCCCCTCTTTGCAATTATCTAAACCACAAAGAAAACAAACAGGTCAGCAACTCTTCAGCAATCCCCATGAGAGGCAGCTGTGATCAACAGCAAAGCAGTGGCTGGAGGTGGAGGAGGTTCATATATTCCCTCAAGATGTTAGTCCGTGTTTGCCTCTACATCCCTGGAGGATAAGCATTTAAAGCAGCTCAGATGACACTGATGTCTCCAAACAGATCCTAGTGGCAAAACTGCAACAGACCAAGACTACAGAGGTCATGTCAGCTCTTTTTACTTTTAAGTACTGGAATTAGTTTTTCTAACTTTTGGCATCCATACATGTTTATGGACAGATAACAAATACTCCTCTGCATGCCAAGACAATCAGCAGCAACATCTCTGATGAGGCAGAAATACTAGGCTTTCCTTTTAAGACCACAAACTACACATTAGTCTTATTTAGCATTTCCATTCTCAAAGAGGTGGATAACACTATCTCAAGGCATTTTTTTATCTATTAGGAGTGGTTGGCAGGCACGTGGCTTCACTAAACAGTAAAAAACCTGCACTGGTCTGGCCTTTTGCTCCTGCCCTGACAGTGCCCATTTCCCATGTTTGCCCACATGCCCCCTCTGTACAAGGCTACTGGGCAGCTCAGTTCTCTCCCATGCCCAACTGGTTCCTTTCAGGCAGTGACAGGTAAGAGGGATGATTGGCTGAATTCCCAACATCCCCCACCACCAGAGGCATTTAAAACTGGTTTGCACCAGGAACCTGAGAACATCCTGCTAGAAACAACCTGTCCTGGATGAAAACAACTAGACCTGACCACCAACCAGTTCCCACTTACATTTCACTTTAAACCCCTTGTTTACTCTCTTTGCTAACACCTCTGCATACCCTGCTAGATTAGTTGCCCTCCCACAAGGAAGACTGGCCTTGGTGGAGGACAATATCGATGCCATCACCTGTGCAATGTCAGCAGAAAGAGATGTGCCAGCTCCACGGTTCAAAGCTGGGTGGGTCAGCCCAGGGCAGCACTGCCTCTCCTCACTGGCACGAGACTTAGGGCAGCCCTTGGCCAAATGATATGATGCACATGTTGAAGGGAGTGATTGTATCGGAGGAGGAGATTGCTCTCTATCTCCCCATGGGAGCCCAGGGGCAGGGAGAGACGCGTCCCCCTGCCTGCCAGATTTTGCTGTTTGAAATGATGTAATAAATCACCCACATACTTGCTTGGGGTTGTGGCTCAGCACAGGTGAGCAACAGTCTGTGATAAGCCCTTTAACTGCCTCAGAAACAGCACACAAGACCCAACTTTTCCAGTCCTTTGTTAGCTACCTCCTGACAGGCACCCCATAACAAGGAATGGCATGGGAAGAGGGCCTGGGAGAAAGATACACTGCTGCACAGCAAGGCAGGCAGGCTAGGATTTGTGTATAAAAATCAGTCTTCAAGACAAGTCCTGCCACTGGTCTGAACCTTCTCCCCAAAGCAGGGGACAGTGGCATCTTACAGGGGAGATGCAACTTGCCTGGGACACAGCCAACTAACACAGTCTTAGCTAATTTGCCTTCATCTGACAACTAAATCAATTCTCAATAGTTGTAAGTCCTGAACGGCACAAGTCACATGCACATGCTTATAAACAAACATGCAAACGCTTTCTCTTTCCTCTTACTGCACTTGAGGCAGAGATTAATGACAAAGCAAGCACCAGAGGCACTGCACAGCAGTATTACCCTGTAGGGTTTAGATCTATCCATCCCTGAGGCAAGCATTACAGAGATGGGAACAAAGGGAAATGGACTGGGCTTTGCAGCCCTGAGGTTTTCTGGAGAGCTTGGGATGTGCAGATCTTGCTGGTGTACGACTGGAAACACACAGCCCTTTAAGTCACAGAAGAATTAAACAAAGACATCTGTATGGTCAGAGTTATTCATGTAACACCAACACATTCCATCACCAAGGAAGGATCTACCACCCACCTCACTGATAAATGAGCCCAGGACCGTGCACCTACATCCAGTGGAAAGACAAGAGATATCTCCTGAGGGACCTTCAGGGTGATACTCTATCTGACTGATCATTGCAGTGGGAGATGGGGAAGTTGCATGGCTGCAGTTAGATACCACCTTCCATAATCTGTTGACAGAAATGTTTCCCCCAAACTTACCCATTGTGGGAAATAAGCCTGAGGTTCAAAGTATTTGCCAGCATGGACCTTCTCTCTGTAGTTGCCCAAGTCTGCCTGTAAGCTATAGGCAGCCAGCAAGAAGTAGATTTCTTCTTTGTGGTTGCAATGAGACATAAGTACTTGGTCTTTGAGATGGCAGTAGTAGAGCTGCCGTGCCACCTTATCGCTGCAAGACAAAGGCAAATTTACTTTAAGAACAAAGTTCAGATAAGGCCTCTCAAAAACATCATCTTGCTGAGAGAGGAGAGGGATTAAACTTTGACATGTCTGATGTGTGCCAATGCCACCCTGATACAGTTGTGCATATAAGGAGCACCAAAACAAGATCAAGGCCTTCTCCCACTAAGTGTTGCACAAACACAAGAAATTGTAGCTTCTACCTGGAGGAGCACAAGATCTAAGAAGTTAGGGCAGAAGGTAGATGAAAGAAAAATCACATCACACCTGGAGACTGACTACAATCAAGCACTTCTGTTTCCCTGGAAAGTCTCTAGCAGCCAAAAGAATCAACTGCCTTGGACTCGCAGTCCTGTTTCTTGCACACCTGTCCTCCTTTCCCCTCTAAACCTGGCACTGCTTTTTTGTTCCACCTTGCCTTAGGCTCATGATACTTTTCAACAGCTAATTCCCTGCAAGGTAGATCAAAAGACATGGGAGCCCTGGGCTTGTTTTTGTCTTCTTCCTCAAGCTGCTAAACAGGGATTGACTGATAAGGAATAGCTATGGCAAAGCCTTGATAACCCACACACCCCCTGCCTTCAGAGATCATGGGAAGCAGGCTGCTGACATGTGCATGTAGAAGAGCTGCTGGACACTAGTCTTCTTGTAAAGTGTGCAAGTATAGTTTGAAGGGGCCAGATAACTACTTCTGCATGGCTCTACAAACCTCTCCAATTAAACTGCTAGTGCAAGAGAAATATGCCTGTGATGGTGAAGGATGCATAACTCGGGAGCGGCAGGATGATATGTAATCTCTCTTTGTACGAAAAAAAGCAAAATGAAACAAAAACCACTTATCAGCCAAACAGACTCCATAAGAATCCCATGTATCCAAAAACGAAAGACTATGGAGAGAGAAAACATAGAAAACCACAAGCCTTGTTCAAGACAAGAACAAATGCCAAAAATTTGGTAAAGATTTTAATCCACCTAAATGATCCCAGCTCTTGGCTTCCCCCAGGGACAGAGCCACACCAGAAGCACTGACGTAAATTAACTCTGTCAGTTGTTCATTTTTAACCACCTCATCCTTTGTTCTGTACCATGGGTGAGGGTGGTGCTGTTTTGAGTGCAGCCCATATTCCATGTGAAAGGACTACAAATTAAAAACTCTTAACTTATGAAGTAATTTCTTTTGTCCGTGCATGAAAGTCTGTTTCCAGAAGTATACTGCACGGAGCACTGCTCAAATACAAAAAACAGATCTAAAGCATGTGCTTTGGAGTATAAATAGCTATTTTTGGTATATTCATCCAGTGCCTTTCATACAACCAAAGGACACAAGCAAAAGAGTGCTAATCGTGTTTTGATAATGTCGTCATTCAACCTGCTCTTTCAACACAGATGGAAAAGCAGTCACAATTTTCCTAGGGGATATGGGGTATGATTCAGGCAGAAAACATTCATAGCTGAGTGAGGAAGTCTGTGAAGGTCTTCAAAAAACAAAATTCAAGCAGATTTTTAAAGCTCATTTCAATGAGCTCACAGAGATGAGGTTAACAAAGAAACATTATTTTTCTTTCATTTTAAGAACACACTGAATAAATCCAAATGCAGTAATTACGATAGAAGAGAACTTACCCTATTACTCTTCCATTTTCTACATAGTATTGTACTCTAAAGAATGCAACAAATGGAGGGCTGAATTTCTCTGTCCCCTAGAGCAAAGACAGAAGACAATTTAAATTATGATCAGCATCCAAAATTCCTGTTACTCTATCTGGTAATGTTCTCTTCTCCAAAATTCACTCCCCATACTGCTTTTCATTTTCTACCCTTAGCTCTTGGCAAGTTTTGCAGAGGGAGTCTGACTGTCTTGGAGGCTCATGACAATGAGGCATCACAAAACATTCAGACAGGTTGAACAACAAAATATCCTAGGAAGAGCAGAAGATTTCTGGATATGAGGGATGAGCTGGTCTAAGAGTCCCAGTGTAGCCTGGGTGTCCCCAGGCTAGCCCAGAATTACCTAGCTCAGCAGCTGGCAGCACCACAAGCATGTTCGTGCTGAACGCAGCAAGTTTAACCCAGCCTCCCTCAAAGCGCCAGGGCAGCGTGCCCCGCTGGCACGGCTGTGGCGTTTCCAGGGCACTCCTAGGAGCTGCCATCCATCCCTGCACCACACCACATCACTCAGCAAGGACACACACACACACACTGCCGTGTTCAGCAGTCACTGCCTGCGGCTGAGGCGCACCAGCCTGGGATCAGCTCCCTGCCTTTTGTTTGGCGGAGCTCGTGGTTAGTTATTCACACGTCCCTGCAGCCACAGACCAAAAGGTAGTGTTGGTGTCTGCCTCACACTGAGGAGTGCTGTCAGAAGAAAGGCAGCATGAGGCCTGTTGTTTTAACCACAGCCTATCTTTCTGACTTACAGGCTTGTTTGAACGGGAGAAAAAAAAAGAAAAAAGGGAAAAAATAAAGGAATGACTTACTAGCTCAATCTCTCATCTTTCCTACTTTGCCACCTTAATGTTCACACAAGTAACTTTGCTCCCACAGGCAGTTCCAAGGCTTTGCTGGTCAGACCTCACTGGGACAAGGTACATGGCATGCCCTCCACATCTGATGCAGACAGTTTCTTGATCATGCAAACATCTCCATTTTATATCTGGAAGTTGTTCATAGTCACCCTATTTTATCAGCTAGACTGGGCTTTCCACCTGAAACCTCTTCAAAGGAATTAAATCCGTGTCAACTAACCCAGTCCAATAGGCTAACCCATCTGAGACTGTAGTACTGCCAATGGCAACTCATTCAGTCTTTTATGATTCGCATCACACCACAGGTTCAACGCTTCGCCTGACCAGAAAAGTGTAGCAAGAATCCAATCACAGAGCAACCTCAAAGCGTACCCCTCATCCTGAGGCAACCAGAAACACCTGCTGTGGGAAGCTCTCACTGGCTGGACAGACAGCCCCTCCCTCGGCATGACTCTGGCTGTTCTTGAAATAACTCTGTCGTTTGGGAAAAGCAGAGCACATGCTTGGGAATAAGAAAGATCCCCAAACCACACTAGTTATCTACAAACTTCTCTAAGCAGCAGAAATGGTTAGTGTGCCTACTCTGCAAAAGAAAACCCTTAAGCTAGATGGAAAAAGTAATTTACAACTTTTACAATGACCCAATTAAGATATTTGAAAGCAACTGCATACTATACTTTGTTCTAGACTATGGCCCCTCTGTTAATAACACACACAAACAGGCATTCTCACATCTGAATGAACAGTATTAAACAATAACATTGTCTTTATTTCATATAGCTTTTCCCTCCCTTGTCAGGGCTAGCAAGCCTTAAAGAACTAGGACTCGTCTCAAACAAAATATCCTTCTCCTAACACAATCCTTTTGCACGTACTCTGGGAAGAGCCACAGCTCGTCATTTCCCTCATACACAAAAAGTTATTTTTGGCTGTTTTGCTTAAGGATAAAAATGAGGTCTCCAGACTAAGATCCAGACTAAGTTCAAATGGAAAACTGACCAACTGACCTTCTCCACTTCTGCAGCAGCCAAGCAGCAACCATGTGGTAACTATTGCTCAAGTAAAGTTGTATAAGGGGCTGTTTAAGCTCTTTTAATTAATTGTACAGCTGTGCACAAGTCACTCCATCTTGCTACTGAAAAGTATTCTGCAGACCATCTTCAAGAAATGCTCTATGGACCTTAGTTAAAGAGTTTTCATTTTACTGTGTAGTCCAACAAAAAAGCAGCAGCCTCCAAAATTAAACAGCTCTCTTACTTTGGTGGTCTCTTTCTTCCATTCCTTTGAAAAGTATTTGCTAAGCTTCTGCTCCAGGTCTATAAAAACATATTCATTATCTGAAAGATAAGAAAAAGGGGAATTCAATGTAAAATAATTGGAAATTTTTAGTCATTAAACATTTAGGTGACTCTACAAGTTATTTCCAAGCAACACATTTGCTCAACAGGGAACAAACAGGGTAGAAAAAAACAAAAAAGAAAAAAAGAGTACTCTTAAATACATGTGCTACTCCAGAGAGCATGGAGAGCATGGAAGAAAGGTCATTCACACCTTCAAGAGATGCTGAGTTAAAAGTTCCTGAACACCTTAGCTAGAAATGCAGAATTCCTGCTTTATGGTCAAGAAGCCACTTACAAAAAAGAGAAACATCTTACCCAGTTCATTGTAGTGCCAGCTTACCAGATTCAGTTTTTCATTATTATTAAACAAACAAGCCTTACCCAAGCTTGCATTCTGCCATCATGTAGTAGCACCATGGTCTAACATGGCAAAAGTAAATCAGCAGAGCTGGGTATTTGACAGGTTTCATCCTCTGCATGTGAAAGGGATCCTCTGAAAGGATGAGAAACAAGAGGACCAAACATAAACGCCTTCCTCAGAAGGTCTGGTGTGTCCTGCTCACACCCACCTTTTTTCATATAAAGAAAAGATGAATGAAAGGAAAAGAAACCTGGCCTACCTCAAAAGACTAAAGGACCAGGACTTGCTCTCCACCCTAGTGAGATTGAACAAGACACAGCCTGAATGGCACATCATCTTGAAAGAGGTTTGTGCTGCTTTCAAAGCTGATGTTTCATAACACTGCTTACCAATTATCAAATACAAACAACTCAGCCAGTGAAAGACTTTTTCCTGAGTCTTCAAGTCTCTTAAAAAAAAAAAAAAGACAAGGCCTGACAGGTGTTTCAGGCTGCAGCAGCAATGCCAGCTGAACACATTTACCTGACCAGTCCTCTATTCTTTGATCTTGCTTAGGACAGTGTTTTGACAGGTGACACAAGTGCCAAAATGAAGAGCTTGCTCCTTAAACATGAAAGGAGCAGCAGTAAAAAGGGGAGGAGAGAAAAAAAAAAAAAAAAAAAGAACCCTCCACAAAACAAACTTCTGCCCCTTAAGACCAGCCCAGACTTCCAAATGAGATCCTGCACTCATGTCTGTATTATGGCAGACGCAGGCCTGGCATGGCCAGTGTTACAGTAGGTGTTGCAGTGTTACAGCAGATATTGAGGGGCCTCTGAGCTACCTCACAGCCACCCTTCCAAAGCATTCCAGATCCTTACAGGGGCAGATACAACAAATACTTTCTTTGCTGGCTTTCAAAAAACAAGCAAGCAAAACAGCCTCCTATTGCCACCTCCTTCAGCTCCCACCTCAAGTTAAAGAAACCACATCTGCTGCTATCCAGAACTGGCCCACACATCACATATTCTGTAAAATAGCAGTAACACTGGATACAAAAAAGGCAACATCCAAAAAAATCCTGTTTCTGTCTCCATGCTCCTTCCTGCATTGTACTGCTTGCAGCTGTAAGACCTCTGTTTATCACGTTACTTGACATATCACATACAGAAACAAAATAGTATTTAACAGCACTATCAAAATGGCTACATGGAATTTCTGAAAGTGGTGGGAATTTACATGCTATAGCACACAAGATGACATGGAAGTCATTTTTGCTGTTTTGACAAGGAGAGAAAGAGGGTTTTTTTCATCACAGAGATTGCATCTTGTACCTGCCCCTTCACTTCTGTCTGTAAGATAGGGTGGCTGGGGGCTACACTGGCCCCAGCTCTTCCTTCTCTAGGTCCAGTAAGATCAGATAATCCTGCCTGGAAGAGGCTGATAGAAGTCCTAGTCAGTAAGAGAGAGAAGGGTTTGTCCATGTTAAGCTTGTCTCTGCCCCTCGTCAGCTGCCAAGCTGGTAAGCATCACTCCAGAAAGTTTTTCTTAAAAAGTAAGTAAAAGCTCATTTAGGGAATTAATTGCACAGCAAGTGACAGGAGTGGGATTACATGAGCATGCCACCCAGTCTCTCCCTGGGCTTTGGCAGTCCTGGAGAAGGGCAAACCCTCCACTGTGGGCTCCCCACCTGGCACCAGGTTGGTTGTGATGGCACAACAGTGCTGGGTAAAGTCTGTATCAGTTCTGCCAGGGCTGTGGTCTTCAGATAACACCTTGTTAAGAGGCTGTAACAAGTTCAAGAGTCAGTTTCCCTTTCTAGCTCAAGAATGATCCCATGCCCAGAGGCATTTAGAGAAATACATTCATTATTCCTCAATCAGGAGGGTAAAACTGCAACAGCAAACACAGCGACATACCCTGAACCACCCGATCACACCTGAATATTAGGTCAGAAAGGAAAAAGTGTGACAGAAGAGTTACATTACAGTAAAGCCATTTGTTACCCACACCCCCTCTTTATCTGTCATGTTAATTAGGTTAGAGATGATTTTGTGAGGGCATAGATGTCATACCTGAAGATTGCAGGTTATTACTAGGCCTACTGGGAGGTAAACCACAAGAATAAGCCAGGCTACAGGAGGACATCCTAATATATCTTCTCTTCTTGGGGGTCCCACTGCTCCCCAGCCCAGTTCAGCATCCTCCCTCTCATGCAAGAATGCAGCACTGCATTCCTCCTTAATTAAGTTAATATTGCTGGAATGTCAGCCTGCAATGTAAGCCTCCATCTACAAAAACAAAGAAGCATTTCCCTCTGCAGTCCTACTGCTTTGTGGATGGCTTTGTTTTGGTTTTTTTTCCTTACACTGGTTTAGTGATGAAACCCTAAGAGATCTTTTCCCAGATGCTAGAACTATCTGCTTTGAAAATAAGCCTCTCTAACAGATATGAGGGCACCAAACTGCAGCACCTCTGAGCAGTGCTGTAAAGGACAATATAGAAATGCACAGATGGCCCCCTTTCCAGGGAAGAATAAATTTGATCTGTGGATCCAAACAGGGCTGGATACTCAGCAGGTACAGACTGTCATTGCTTCCCTGGCCTTACCTGAAGGACAAGTGAAAGGTACTAGGAAGCTGACTGAGAAGCATGCACACATGAAAATACACTCTCATCCACCTGCAGCATGAATCTCATCTCAGCACTGTAGGTGATCTTACAAATACATCAGCTTCTCTTGAAAGGTTCCCTCATGTATGTATGTACAGATACCAGACCTGGCACAACTCACCAGTGCACTGCACTGCAATCCTGAGATATTATTCTGGACAGCCAGCTCCTTTGCAGTAAGGCAATTTGCACATTTCTCCCAATTTCACCTTTAAGAATTCTCAAATGAGACTGAAAGTTTACGCTACAAAAATCACATTTCAAAATAAGCAGTTACCAGAAATTAAAAACATTTCTACTCTGCAAAATTAACTTAGCACATTTTATGTATTTAAAAAAATATAGGACATACATTGTTGCAAAAAAATAATGTGTCAGGTCCCCAGTTAGAAAAAAGTGACACAGTTCCAGTGAGTGACTTCTAATAGGCATTATTGACAATGCAGGAAAAATAGGAATAGAAAATTCCTGTATGGAATAGAAAATGGCTGTAATACAGCGTCAAATCAGTTCTGAGTCATTGTTAACCTAAAGGCCATTATTTTGCATTAACCAGTTCCTCCTCATCTCAATTTTTATGAAAAGTAAGTTCTCTGCATAAAAGCTAAGTAATGTCAAATGCCAAAAACCTGTTCTCCTCCTGTGCCCATTGTGGGCTAGGAGCACCAAGAAATTCCACAAAGGTGTCCTACCACAAGTCAGAGCTTAGGCCCCCTAGGCAGCCAGGAATATCCCATTAACAAATTTGGCTGAGTCATGTATATTTCAGCAATGCAACTAGACAGTCCAGAAGAATAGGACTGAAATAAAATATGAATTAGTGTGAAGCCAAATTTCCACATAGCAAGCATTTTCTGACTAAAAGAGAGGGGAAAAATTATCCATGGCTATTGCACTTAACTTTTCCCAGACGCTTCAAGAAACTTTGTGGCAACACCCCTACATCCCCTGAGGCACAAGAGGAAAGACAGCAGGAGCAGGACAGAGGGATGCTAGGGTTAGGGGAGAGCTGAAGCTTAAAAAAATCCAGAAGCAACAAAACCCCACACTAAAAAATACCTCACAACACATGTTGTACACCTCACATAAACTGAATACCAGAATGGATTTTTTTTGTTCGTTTATTGAAGGCGAGCTGGCTGCACACTCCTTTCGCACATTTATCTACCTAAGCTTCCAAGTGTTAGTGATTTGGGAAAACCACTACCCACACAGAACCTGCTCCCACCACCTCTGCATAACTGCTCAATGCTCCTGTTTTTATCTTTCAAGCCAATGGAAAGAAATGTTGTCCACTTTATATGTGGTTGATTAGTTTACTAAAGGGTCTTAAAGAACCTGGTTGAGGATAACCTTGTGCTTTCAGCTTTAGCTGGAAAGTACATATATCCCAAGTGACGGGAAGAATCACAAGAGAGGCTAGGAGCAAAGCAAAGGAAGTCCTGGCTGAGGTCACTTTACCTGGGATGGACACAAGGTATATGGAGGGTAGCATCAAAGGAGACAATACCAAGGAGCCTGGGATCATGCGGTGTTAGGAACTGTTGAGGTCTTGTTGGGGGTTAGGTGTCCTTCCTTTTGTTCTGTCTCACCTATGGAATTTTTGCCCATTCCTGGCAGGGAAACCTGACTGCTGGTACTTGTTGGATGCTTGAGAAACACAAATTGAGAAACAAAGAGTTCGGCTGGGCCCAAGGGGGAAGGGGGGCAGGAAAAAAGGGTGGGCGGGAGCAGCTGGTTTCTTCAGCTTCTCAGCTTCAGAGCAGAACTCTCGCTGGGAGCTGTTGCAGCTGGGAGAAGGGAATTCACCATCACCCAGATGGAGCTGCTGCTTCTTCTTCCTTCTTTGTCTGCGGGCCTCGCACCCCCTGCCCTGCCGGGATGTGGCAGTGCCAGCCCCACTGTGGAGCTTCTGATACATCTCTCTCTCACTCACCTGCCCAGGATTCCTACTCATCCCTGCTGTTCCAGCTGAGTGTTCCTCAGAGCCCTGCAGGAGCACCGGGACTGACTGCCCGAGGGGGTTTGTGAAAACAAAGCCTCTCCTCCATCTCTTCCCATCTCGACCAAGAAAGCTGTCACGGGGTCCCTGGTCCTGTTTTCTTGCTAATGCTGTAGTTATTGTTGTTTGTTTGCCTGGTTATACAAACTAGTAAAGAACTGTTGTTCCTATCCCCAGATCTCTGCCTGAGAGCCCCTTGATTTTCAAAATTATAGTAATTCGGAGGGAGAGGGGCTCCTGCCCTCTCTAGCAGATACCTGTCCTGCAAACCAAGACAGGTCTGAACACTGAGCTAAAGGCTCAGTCATTCCTGGTAATGGACAGGTACTGCAAGAATTTTATGTTGGTATCTTACATTCAGCAACAAGGCAGGCCAAGGCATAGCTCTTCAGACTGCAGCAGTGTCATAAGGGATTCTTCTGCACAAGAGCTGCAGAACCATTTCTAGCACTGCTCATCCAGGGGAAAACAAACTCTTTGCAATTCTCAGGCAGGAGAGCACTTGGCAGGATGCTGCACTGATACTGAATGAGAAACGATTGACAGCAGGTACAGACAAAAAATTGCCTTCATAGGAAGAGACCATGCAAGTCCTTTCAAGGAGTACTTTATACTCTCTGGACATCTGAACCCCTGCAATTCCCTCTAGGTGGTTCATTTCTGCATGTGTTTTTCTTATATTGCATTTAACTCGTCTGAGGTACCAAGTCACTGCAATAGAGTTGTACCTTAAGTTAGAGTACAAGATAAATTCATAAAGGAGATTCAACTATATAAGCAGATTTAAGAGAGGACAGACAAAAAGCATGGATAGTGAGGAAGGACTGGTGTGTAGAAATTGTCATAAGGTATTTCAGTGAACTGTTGTTATTTGTCTCTTAAGAGACCCTTTGTTGTAAGAGATAGTCATGTAATATAAAGAAAGCCTGGTAGCATATTCTGTCCATGAACTTCAGGAACGGAGGATATACAGATATGCAGAAGAGTTAACTGGAGGCAGAGTGGTTTTGGCAGAGTTAATCACTGAGCTCCTTGGTAAGCAAGTGCTGGGAAGCGTGGGCCTGGCAGGGTGAACAGCCATAGCTTTAAAAAACAAAGCTTTGAAAATCATCTTTGAGGCATGGGAGCTGAAGCAAAAGGATTTGGTTTCCTAAGAAAGCCAGCCTAACAAACCTAAGAGGACACAGAGACAGTGGCAGGGTATAGGAGCTGCAGACTTGCTCCTTCCCAATTGAAGGCTTCCATCTGCTTAGGTCAAGCAAGGTTTGCTCCTACAAAGGCATCACCCAAAACTCAGGATCGAAGGGATCTTCGTTATAGCAACAAAGGAAGCTTGGCTGTTCTTTGTCTGCTGACAATCAGTTTTGTTTTAGAAGACTGAATGTGTTGCTGCACATACTTTCCGATAACAAGAGGGAAACCTCCCGCAGGGCACTGGATAAGGCTGACCCTGCAGGAGGATTTGCCATATAAGACCCAGCTGCTGAAGAAGCCTGTGGAACCAGATTGAACCTGGCAGGAGTTAAAAAAAATAGCAAAGAAAAAAAAAAAAAAAACCCACTTCAGCAGCAGGAGCACACAAGGTATAGCCTGCCTGATGATCCATGACAAAACTAGAAGAGCAACATGTCCCAAGGTTTGTAGGGCCTCCTATTAATGCACATTCCTGAACTTGATTTTCAAAGTGATCAACTTCTTACAGACACAAGTAGGGTTGTTTTTTTCTCCTCAGATATATTTGGTTGCAGCAGTTTTCCTCTTGTGAATAAGAAAACAGTTCAAGAGCAGAAGGGATGGAAAATTCTATCCTGACACTGTAACCCTTAATCCTGAAGCTTGCCCCTCAGCATCTGTAACAGCCAGAAGAGAAGGCAACATATTTAGGCATCAAATGCTGGGGAACTTGCTCTAAGACCTATAATTTAGATCTTACAGCATTGGTGGTTTGCAGCTTACATGGTGCTTTAAGCTTCTGTTTTCCTTTTTGCCACACTTCAGAGTTAAACTTCTGTTTATGATTAAGGACCCCAACCTCTCCCCCTCACACACATACTTACTATGAGACCAACTGAGCATTAGTGTATCTGTACAATGTCTGCAGGTCAAATGGGCTCCTAATCCAGATAATCCATGCAGTGTGATTGGCTACAGTTCTGTAGAAATCCTTTAATTTTCATTCTCTTGCTCCTGCTGACAGTCAGGGTTTTGTTGACAAATTAGCAGCAAAGTAATGGATGCAGGTGGATTAGAATACCTTTTTTTGCATGTGGCAGTATCAGATCACCAAAAAGAAATACACACTAAGAAACTGGGAAAGATATTATCATTGAAACAGGGTGTCTGTTTTTTTAAAAAAAATGTCTTCTTGAAGCTGCAGCACAGAGGTGAAAGCTTCATGGAGAGGATTACCTTGCTCAAAAATGCTTTCTCTCCGTTTTTTGGATACCTAGCTCAGCCTCTCCTGACAGGCCAGGCCCAGGCCTCCCTTTCAGAGCATCTGTGGGGTGCACACTGACTTGCCACTCAAGCAAGGCAGTCAACTTAAGCACCCACAAGGCAACCTTGAGAATGCAAAACTTACCCAGGCCTCCCCACAACCTGGCCTGAGAGCTTCCTTTTTTTGAGATGATAGCTTGTTGTGAAGCCAAAAATCCCTGACAGGCAGGCAATGCCTTAAAGGCTAGTTTCAAATGCCAGACTCAAAGTGCTACATTTGCTATAGAAGCAAGACCTCAGCTACCACAGTCTGTTGACCAAAACAAGGAGGAGAGAAACCAAGTTGTGGAACAGAAGTAGTATTTCCTTTCAGGAAAGCAAATAACCAGCCCCCGAAACAAACAAAAAAGAGATATTAATTCTGGCTATTGCACTCTTGCAACTCTTTTCCTTGACTTATTAAGAGCTTTCTGGAAGAATTAGCTGCTATAAAAAGGAAAAATACTTTCATGAAGTGAGAAGATTATTTCCACTTAAAGCTGTGGACAATATACTCTAAAGTCTAGCCAGAACAGCTCTATTATGCTCTTTGGGATGGGTGGTTACAATGCATTTCCAACAGGTTGAAAAGCATCTGCCACAACAGGGTATTTTGTGACCAGAACCCCTGTGCTTGACAGGGTGAAGCAAATTGCTTCACAGAAAAGGTGTGAGGGAAGGAAAAAGCAGGGTATGGAAAAAATGAAACAAAAAATATATGAAGGGGGGAAAAAGTGAAAGAAACACAGGAAGAACAAGAGAAGAATTCAAAGAAAAAAGGAATGAAATTTGCCCTGTCTTACAGGAGAGGACAAGGGTTTCAATTTCAGCCAAGATGCCCTGTAAGTGGAATATGCAAAACCTGGTATTAAAAAATGTCACAAAGAGGATGACTCAAACACAGATGATTTTTGAAAAAAGTTAAGAGCATTCAGGTCTCCTCTCATTAAAAAAAACTTGTGCTGGTTTAAAGCACAGGTTTATTAGGTTTAAGGAATCTCTTGGAGACTCTGCAAACCTTATGGAGATAAAAAGCTTATGTTCCTCTCAGTTTGAATGCTGCACTCAAAGAAAGCAGTTCTTACAGAATGAAAGCATAAAGGAAATGAGACAAACTTAGGAAAAAAACCCTTATTTTATCCTACTTATTTATAAAGAGGCAAAAGAAACCTTATTTAGAAAGACTTTTAAAAGACTACTGTAATTCCAACGAAATATCTAGAACTGCAGTAGTAAATAACACACTTGAAAAAAGTTTCTGGAGGAGAGAAGTCTTTCAGTGCTTTTGGTACTGGGGGGAAAGAAGATAAACAAGACAACCTATCCATTTCTAATTACTAAGAGCTGAGGTGTGGGAGGGAATGCCAATGCTTACACCACATCAGAAATATGATCTCTTATATCAATTTGCTTCTTTAAGGCATCATCTTAACACCAATTCCTGGCTAATACTAAGCCATAAGACCACGCAAACTGGACTTTAATTCATTGACTAAGAAGTTTTGTATTTCCTGTGTGATATTTCAAAACCCAGTGTGTCCCACAGATGCATTCAGTCCTTTACAATCATTTGTATTTCCTGCCCAGTGCCACATTCTTAGTGTGTGACTTCAGACGATAAGTAACACTTTCAGCCTCAAAGTCCTTTGAAAATCCACCTCCTGTTCAATACCTATAGTTTGGAATATAGTAACAAATATGTTGACTAGCAACTCCCACTTCAGGAGAGAAAGCAAGCCCCACAAAGAGGTGGAATCTAAGAACAAAGGTGGAGAACAAAAGCCCCCCCCCTTTACTCAATTTGTCTGCCCACATACCAAAGATCAAAAGAGCTCTGGGAAGGCTCTGCATAATCTACATACTTTGTGACCTTATTACAATCAAATTCCCCCCGCAGGCACAGCCACTGTGTATATATGCACACACTGTAAATACACAAGCGGGTCTGTGGATGTTTGCCAAGTCACTTGCTCGTGCACTGAGTTTGCTTACTTTTAACAATGCTGAGGCCAAAGAAGTGAGGCTCTTTAATCTTCACTAAATCACAAACTTGCTGAAAGAGCTCCTGTCCAGTGGCTTTGACCTGAAAGACACAACCAGTACAACATTACAGATGGCTTACACACCTGGATGGAGCAACTCTTCTAAAGAACTCTAAAGAAGAGTTCTAAACTCTAAAGAAGAGTTGCAGACCAATACATGCAGACCAGGACCAAAGCAAATACCCAAACACAACCACACCAGAGAACATGCTTTGTTTTCAGTACTATTGCTATTATCATAGAATAATAATCATTAATATTTACTGCTCTCTTGCAGATTCTTCTTTGAGAAAAGAAAACAAAAAACCAAAAGTTTTCATTCAGGGGAACCAGGAAAAAAGTACTCAAACACAAGACTTTGCGTAGCTCATAGGTTAGAGATGTGGTTGTTCTGTACCCCACACAGAAGAGCTTGTTCTGCCTCCTGCTGACTTCTAGTCACACAGCCATCAACATCTTCATCTTTGGCAGCTGTAACCAAAACCCTCTAAGCCCCTTCCTGTTTCCCTGCACACTGAGACCTTCCAATACCCCTGCCTCCTGTAATGCTCAGACTCCCCCAGAAGGAGCATGGTTCTGGATAACTTCTGGACCTGGATGTGTACTACGATTGGAAGATTCCCCCACTAAGCGTGTCCCCATCTAAAGCCTCATTTCCCTCTGTCCTTCTGCACCATCCCAGGAGTACTGACAGACAAACCACAGGCACAGACAGAAACCCCAGAGAGGCATGGGGGAAGGAGTTCAGAGGAAAGAGCAGATGGGGAGAACAGAACAGCACTGACACAGACAACCTCAGCTCAGGCCATGGTGCAGCCAGCTGCAGCTGCAAAATGGGCCAGGACCTTGGAATTTCATTACCCCACTGCTGGATGATGCAGATTAGCAGTGCCAGGAGCAGCTGTCTGCAGGGGTATAGTGCAGTGTTACCTACCGAGCAACAAAGATGACAAGGCAGAAGTCGACTGCTTAACTCTCCTACAAACCAATCACCATCCTTATTTTTCAGGCTCTTTAAGTGTAGGTGTGCCACACACCCCAGAAACTGGCTTTCACTCGCCTCCCTGCCCCAGGATGTACCATGTCACTAGACAAGGACAATGGGAAACAGGAGGTCATTTAAGTACTCATTTTCTTCTATTTGACAAGGCATCAGTAGCCAGACACTCACTACTGTTTTATCAGGAGCTTTGAAGCCTGCACTATACCAGTGCAAACATGTGTAAGCTTTGAGCAGGGAGGAGGCAGCGCACAGTTCTGATAAGACCCAAACCCACATCTGGGTCTTATTATGAGTCGCCATGTGAGACTGCACCCTTTCAGTCTCACACCTAGATCAGTGTTTGGTCAGACACCAAGAACACACATTTGGAAGGCAAAGTTGGGCACAGAGCAGTCTCCTTTGCCAAAGAAGCAAACTCTGAGCATGTTCTCCTACCTGGGAAGGATTTGCTAAGAAAGATGTGACCTACCTCTAGCCAGAATGGTTGTGGACATGAAAGAGTCACTGGCAGCACGTGACTCTGTGTAAATGCTACACAATGGGATGAATTTTCTAAGTGGCAAGCTTTCATACCTAAGGGAAGTAAAACCTGCTTTAAGATACTTAATTCTAGGGAACTGAGCACTTCAAGTGACAGTTTTGTGGCACTCAGCTCTAAACAGTGATTTAGGCAGATTTCTTGCACAGCAGGTATGCTACTACCACCATGTCCATTCTCCTCTTGGCACTTCCCTTCTGTATCAAGTTCTACTCCCAGCCTTAAAGGCTATGCAATACCAATTACACTTGAAATTGCTGCTCCCTCATCCTACTTTCCCCTCTGCTCAAAGCAACCAATACTTCCCTTTGCATTTTTCATCTGGGTGCTTCTCTTTGGACTTTCCTCCCTGTGCATATGGTTCCTGTGCCAAGATTGATCTCAGAATGCTATGATTCATTCCTTCCACTGATACTCAGCTTTGCCCCATGTCAGGCTCAGGGCTTCTTTACATGTGATATTTAGTCCAAAGTGAAATCAATTGCAAGTTTACAGAAGGTAATTCCAAGGTCATTCTGTGTACAAATATTCACCTGCATTGGTTACCTGTATCTATTTTTCTTGGTACATATGCTTTGAAACATCAGCTTTCCTGTTCACAGAACAACTGAAAGACTTTAGACCTATGCTTGCCATTCACCCACACACAGGACCTCACCAGACCCTCCGCTCCAAAAATTTCTCCCACTTTGCCTTGCCCTCCTCAGTGCAGCTGGTGAGCTGCAGCATCCACTAGTCCCCCTCACTGCTCTGCTTCTCCTCATGCTCACAGCTGGTCCCAAGAAGGCAGTTTTACTCCTCACCATCCCCCCAGATTCATTGTACATTCAGAAAGGTAGACATGGAAGCTAATTAAGAGATATTTGATTGTGGGGGAAGAGAATTTAAAATAGCTCCTGCTCGTCCTTCTTCAGTACCACTATCTGTGAATGGTGTATGACAAGGCCATTTTAAAGAGCAAGCTTCAATCTATATGTGACCACATAAAACACATACAGGTAAACTCTTATCTGGAAGGGTGGAATTTATATGGGAGGGGGAGGGAGGACTTACCTGCATAAACACTGTGCTTATCATGGGAAGGATCTATAATTTATTCTGCTGGAAAGATAACCATTCCTACCTACCTCTCTGAGCTGCAAGCTTGTTTAGTATTTGCATTCCACACTGAAGAGGTTAAAAGGCTTTGGAAATCTTTAGTAGTGGCATTATTATTCTAATAAATGCACAAAGTATCATCTGTGGTCGTGCTAATTACATTTGGGTTCTATCAACATCACTAGAAAATTGCCTTGATGTTTCTTTAAAACAGAAAGATCGCTCCAGCTGTGAAATCTTAATTTTTGTTGATGTTTTGAATGAGTGTTGTGGTAAAGTCAGAAGCCAAATGAAAAGCTGTTTCTGGTGACTTGCCCAGCTGTAACAGGTCATGTTTCACTCTCTATGCAATTAGGACACAACTGCGTGTTGAGGTCTCATGTTTTGGCCCAGGCAGCTATTCCCTTTCACACACAGGCATCTCCAAGTACATGCTTTCCCAATTTCCCAGACACGAAGGAAAGGGGTATCAGAAACTACAAGGGTGAATGTCTTTAAAAGGAACACAAAGGGGTGCTGCAGAGGATTCCTCTGCAACGTGGTCATGCACAAGGCACCCCTGCTTTGTGGAAGGGCAGCAGGCTAGGACAGGACAGGGGAACAGGAGGGGACACAGCACTTTTCCTCTGTCCCTGTCAGCTCCAAAAGACCATTTCTTATGCTTATGAAATATTTTGGAGGTATTAAAAAAGACATGCAGATGTAGCATTTAGGAACCTGGTTTAGTGGTGGACTTGGCAACGTAATGTTTATGGCTGGACTCGCTCTTAAGAATCTTTCTCACCCCAAATTCATTTTACAATAAACTGCAGGTTTTCATGATTTACCAGAGCATGACCCAGTGGTGAAGGAACAGCTGCATGCTCCATTCAGGCAGAGGCACAGTGTGGAGCAGTGATGGTGACAGCCCTGCTGGCTCACTGCCCTCCTGCACACCAGCCTGCACCTTCCCCCTGGCCAGCCAGCTCTGCTATCTCCCATCTTTAGCCTCCCAGATAAGAGCTATAAGAAGGTGAGATTTAGGGTCAGCTGAAACAGACCATTACCCAGGCCTGTACACCTGCTGCCAAGAACTTAATTAAATCATCGTTTTCTGCCGCGCACAAAAGCCAGCAGATCGCAGAAGCCTTCTGGGGCAGTGGATGGGCTGGGTTTGAACCAGTAACCTAGAAGCAGAGCGTCCCAGATTTTTCTCTTAAAGCTTTATTCCATCCAGCCCTTGAGGCTGTTTCAGTTAAGGACGCTACACTTACACACAGCAGGTAGGAAAATTCCGGCACGGATTTTGAAGATTAGCACGCATAGTTTCAAAAGCCACTGTTTCAACCAAGTACTTAAAATAACAGTTCACCTCAACTGTCTTCTCCCCCTCCTCATCCCAAAGCAGGGGAGAAAACCTACCCAAAACAAAGCCAGATCTCCCCAGCCCACACATGAGTGCGTGCACACGCTCACTAGAGAGCACTTATCTTTGAGACTCGCTTGTCCTCTGAACGCCAAGTGCCTCTTGTCAGCTCAGTTTCTCACAAGTTCAAGGAGCAGCCGGCGTTGCACAAAGAGGCACCGTGCTGTGCAGACACCGTGCCACCCTGGGCTGCCAGCTGAGCTGGCCCTGCTGTCACTCACCCACACTTCCAGATATTTGAGGCAGCAATCAAAGAAATGAAGCGACTTACCTCGATATTTCTGTGTGTACGAGCTCTCAAGAAGAAGGAAAATGCCCCACCCTCAATGGCTGTTTGCCTTAGACTCTTTGAAGGGATCTGCAGGCTACCAAAACCAGGGATAGCTGGACTCTTTACAAGAGCAAACTGTTATACATTGGGTACACTTGCTAAGTAATCAAGGTATTTCAGGTTCAATTTTTTAAAAATTGTTGGATTATTATGAGCAGCAAAACCATTCAGAGATAATAAAAAGTAAATAACAACTTTTATTTACTTTTAAAAAGAGCAGAGGAGACCCCCACCCTACAACAGAGCCATGACTTTTAACGAACTCTGCAAATGAGTTGAAGCTGCCCAATTAGAAAATGGAGCACCAATTACCCTAAGCTGGCTAATAGCCTTTCGGTCAGCAGACCAGCACCAGGCTTTTGGGAGAACAATGGGAGTTAACAAAACTGAACCGTGGCCGCGATGCAGCGACCTCCCGGCCACTCACCCCGACGGCCAGGCTGAGCTGCTCGCGGGTGGGCAGGAAGACGCAGACGCTCCGGATCTCTGGATGCATCCTGCCTGCCAGCAGTGTCCTGCTCATGGTGGGCAGCTCCACAGGGGCTGGGGTGTCCTCTCCAGACAGGTGTCAGGCTCCCTTCATCCCATGTACCTGTTGAAAAGGCGAGAGCATCAGTGCCGTGCTCCTGTTGGCACTGGGAGCAGCTCACAGCACGCGTGTGATGAGATGTGTAAAAACAAAAACACTCCCAACAGTCATCCATTTTCCAGGACCAGTCAGTATTTCCACCAGCATCACAGCAGAAACCAGGCAGTGTCAACCTCTCAAACAGCTTCAAAGTCCCAGGAGAGTGCCATAAAGCAATGAGATTTCCCTGGAATAACAAACCAGACTCAAGGTTTCCTTACACAGACTCGTGTAAGTGACAAGGCAGGTGGCACCTTGGGCCATTGCCTGAAAACACCCATGACATGGGGGAGTGCCCCATCCTTCAGCCAGGCACCTTGCTCACTCCCAAAGCAGAGATTTCAGTGCACTGTCAACAGTTAGTGCAGAGAACTTCATCTGTGCTGTCCTCCCCCTCACTCCGTCCCTACTCCCTGGGAAACCACTGCCTGAAATCCTCTACAACTCAACTCAAAGGAGGAGGTGGAACACAAACTCAAAAGGCTGAGCCACTGGATAACACCTTTTGTGAGGTAAGCACTGCCCTCCTCTCAAGGACTGAGCCCAGCCTGCACAAGCATCTTAGAGCTGAAGTTCAGGTATTAACAGAAATAAGAGATGGAAGCTTTCTTTGCAGCCATATGCAGAGTAGCCGATATCATCTTGACTTAACAGCTAGGTGAGACAGTTTTCTCAGCAACCTGTAGCATTTTATGTATAGCCCTCTCCTCTCCATTGCTCTCAGCATTCCTCTCAGGAAGTATCCTGTGGCACCTGGTGAATCCATCAGGAAGGGGAGAGGCTCCTCGAGGGTGGGTTAGGTATCAATGCCAGCAGAGACCGAAACCAGCAAGACACCAACCACGGGGTCCACTCCATCCCCATACAAGATTTGATGTAAGGGTTGGCTCCCTTCCACCAGCAACACCTGGCTGCTCACCAGCAGCACAGCAACAGAGGTGCTGCTGCCTGGTGCCTGCCCCAAAGTCCCCACACACCTGGGGACAGGCACAGACCCCAGCAAGGGCAGCCCAATGCTCTGGTTCTGGTAGTGCCACCCTCTCCCACCAGCCACGGCCCAGACCACCTTCAGGGGACAGGCTGTGAAGGGAGCCATGGGCTTTTCCTTCTCCCTCCACAGTGCATAAAAGATGAGGGCTCACAAGTGGCAGGGAAGCAGGCCATGTTACGCTGACACACAACACATATAAACGTATGTGCATGTACATGTGTGCACCACATGTAAGTTTAAAAAGCATTTTGTGTTTAAAATCGTGCTTGTCCTGACTCAGGAGAAAATTATGGCAGAAGCAAATTCTTGTGTGGGAGATGGGAAAAGCAAACAATAATGTAGAGTACAGCAAATAGAACTTGGATTTTATCCCTCTCCTTTCAACTCTGTACTCAAGCATCTTTTTTTTTAAAAAAATTATTTTCTTAAAGCAAATACACGATAGATCCAGGAGTGTCCTTTTGCAAATATAGAAGCTGTTCCATGCACCTCCCTCCCTGAGCCAGCATATAAAATGCTTCTTAATAAAGCAATTTTTGATTCAAGTTATGTAGAGCATTCCTTATAAGAAAGAAGTAGACAAAAAATACAGACAAGGAGGTTATTAAAGTATTTTTCAGAAAAAGTATTTAGTTTAACAAAACTTAGGAGGTTTAAAAAGACTGCTCTAAACTAAAAGCAAGTGAGAGAAAAACATTTGACTTTAAGTGACAGGTGAAAGCTGCTATTAACTGAAATATTAAGAGGAAAATCCTGATTTATCTTCTCTTATTGAAATAATTATACTGACATGCTCTCTTAGGCTCTGGACTACACACTATTAACAACTGCATATAAATTACAGATGTCTACAGAATGACTTGAGGGCAACAGGTCACCACTATTATTGCCAGCTGATGTAATTCATGCCATAAACTTTATCAACAGCATAAAGATCATGGAGTATGAACTTTTCAGCATCAGGAGGTTTATCTTAATTGTCAAACGGCTGCACTGGCCAGTACACGTTCCCTCACACAGAGGGATGTCACAGCCAATGAAGACATTAATGAGGCTCAAAATGGAACTGAAAATAGGAGAAAAAAATGACCATAAGAAAACAAACACGTGCACACAGATTCCTTTGGACAGCTGAAGAAACTGACTCCCACTTCCCCACAGCCTCTATAATAAAAAGTTTCTGGAGAGAAGTTTTTTTCCCACACCTGCTATTTCCATTTGAATTTTTAAGAGAACAGCTGTGGACTCTCAGAACAGGGAAGTGAGAAAGGCAGAAGAGAAGGCCTTTTTCTTCTTATGATTCAAAACAAATGAGCCTGTGGACCCCTTCACGATAGGTAAAGGGTTAAAGAAAAATGTCCTTAATCTGAAGGGGGAGGTCAAACACAAGCCCAGCTCAACCTTCTCTTCTTTAGAGGTATGTTAGGATGTGATAAAACATTATGAATCATTAACTTGCTAGCAATGCATGTTTACACCTTTACTTTTTTTTTAAAAAAAAAAGTTGTGAGTCAGGAGTAACTGCCCAATGAAAACAAGTGACCAGAAGGAATGCTCTTACTTAAACATACACAATTTCAGACTGCCCATATGCCATTCTTTTGTTTACCAGATTCCAACCTCTTAACCTCAATTAAACCATAAAAGCTCCAGCAAATGCACTGCAGATGAATTAATAAAAGCTGAAGTCAATCATCAGCCTCTGGGACACTCTACAGGTTGTTTGTTTTTGTGGTGTTGCGCTTTTTTTAAAATAACATCACTTCATGTTTTAGCTCCTGCAGAAGTGCATTTTGAGTTGTAATTGCTTGGTCAAAGGCCCAGCAAGTCTATCAATTAAAATAGTCAAAGGCACTGTTTACCCCAAAGGGATGTCCCCAGTATTTGTGTACTTCTAGTTTCAGACAGGAAGGCTTATTAGTGTCCAGAGTGGTGGCACAGCTTATTTAGCAGTGTTTGTTTTACCTAAACACACATGCAGAGGATCTTTGGAAAACATGCCTGTCATTAACTCCAAGCCCTCTCTCACTAAGCAACTCAAACATGGTCATAAAAACTCAATTAAATCTTCCCCTCCTCTCTCCACAGACCCTCAAGCTGCCTCCCAGCACAGGGCCAGAACCTCCGCTGGGTCAAAGCAGGAATGGATGAGGTTTGCCCCAGCAAGGTGGGTAAGAGCAGCAGAGCCCTCCAGGGGAGGAAGAGGAGTTGAATGAGAAGGAAGGAGCTTTTTGCTTCAGGTACCAACAGGATGGCTCACTGAAACACCTCACACCCCCACCATATACCAAATGACACAAGGATGTCCTGCCAACACTCAATTTGGGGCCTGCCACCAACAGACTGTCTGGAAGAAGGTCTCATCCAGACAGCATGTGGGTTCTTGTAATGAATGCCACTGTATTTTACACACCAGTTCGTAACACCACAGCAACTTGGGTCCTAATTCTCATTTCAGCCTCTAGCTACAACTACAATCACATCTCAAGGGGATAAAGGGAATAGATGAACGAGCCATAACTAACCAGAGTAGCAAAGCAGAACAAAGTTCTTATTGATCAAGAAAAAAGCACAGGTAATTCTGTGCTTCTCTCACAAACACCTGGATACATGCTCCTTAAGGTTTATTACAGTAAAACATCTGCTTTTTCTAGAGCTGACAGAGAATGAGCACCGAGCATCTTCCTGAGCAAACCTTACCACAGTGGGCCTACAGCCTCTCATCAAAAATTATCCAGAAACATTAAGACTCTTCTTAATATTTTCCAGACATCATCCAGAGATGTCTTAGGCTTCTAAGAACACTAGACTCTTGGGCTGCAGTTTCACAAACAGCTTAAGCAGCTTTAATCAAGGCTATCCTGCAGCAAGACACACAGACAACTGCCTGGAAACAAATCTGCCTTTGGCAGCAACCCACACTTGGGCTGCCTTGTACTCGTGATGAAACACAATCGTAAAACTGAAAACTCCCCTCACCTTCCAGGTATTTTGTCCCCTCAGATGCACACTGTAGGGCACCAGTACTATCTGCAAAAGAGAGTAATAAAGGCCCTGAGCAAGTAAAAGAAGTCATGATGGTATGTATAAGCCCTTCTCAGCAATTTTAAAAAGCTCCACCCACCTCCTTTGACTAACCCCTGCAATGATGAAAATTTCTCTGAGAAGATGCATCAGCCAGGAAGGAGCGGAAACAAAGTTGCTTGTCAGGGCAGAAAACGAGATTGAAGTTAAATAGCTTTATGTCATGGATGTAAGATGATGTGAAAAGTGCCACTTGTGACCAGCAGTCAGGACAACTAGGTCACATCCTGCAGCAAATTCCCAGAAGCACATTGACTTTTCAAATGTGTCTACCTCAGCATCATTCCAGGACCAGCACAACACAACCAAGGGCAAAGATGCCATAGGGAGGTAAGGTATCGAATTCAGTATCCACACACTGCTTTTGGGGTAAAATACATACCTGTCTTCAAACACTGCACACTACTTCATAGGAAGCCCCTGTTCAAAGTCACTGAGCAAGGAATACCAAGACACCTCCCAGCCACGTGGGTGCTCTGAAGAACTGGATTTCAGAACCCGTGCTGTTTGGCTGCAGGCAGGTGCAACACTGACAGCGGAGACAACTGGATCCAGCCCACAGGAGATGCAACCACAGCAGGCTCTCTGCACCTGGTCAGGTGTGACCACAGTCCCCTCACACAGCAGGGATGTGGGCCTGGCCCCCACACTTCCTTTAGGCTTTTTCAAGAGATGCAATGCAAGAAGCCTTCAAAAACTCCAGGGCTGTGAACCCATGCAGATGTGACAGATGGGGAAATCATTGAGCATTGGTCTCTTTCTTCCTGTACAAGCAACACTCCTTGGTGACACTGAGCTTTAACAACAGCAAGGAAAATGCCTTCTCCCTAGTCTTCATTGCAGGATTAGATGCAGCTCTTAGGCATGACTGCTCAGGCTCCCCACCTTAGTGCTATAAAGTCTTCCTGCCCCACATCAAGCAGCACAAATGAATCCCAGAACAGGAAACATGCTCCAGTGCTTGTAACTCTTCTGCTCTGCACCCCCACACAATGTGCTCAGGAAGAAGGGATGTCCCAAAACTCTGCAGATACCATCCCTAACCTGGGACCATGCTGCTACGACACTCTGCAGGCTGCCCTAGTCCTTGAGCTCAAAGAGAGGGACAACTCTCCTAACCCAGGGATGGTGGCA